TCTCTCATCTGGTACAAAGCAAGATACTCCTGTGAATTTTGCAACACTGAGACTTAGGTATGATGCGGGATGCCCTCCCTATACCTACTTGTACAAGATAAGGAAGAAAACCTAGGCATGTGATGTAGTGCTATAAAGATAACAATGAATTATCCCCTTTCATAATTGGCATAAAAATGAGATATCCTAAAGAGCACTGTCGGTTAAAGAGTGTTATGACTGATGTTAGAAAAAACAAACTTCCCTTACGTGCTCAATCCGTAATCCGTAATCTGACAGTGTACTAATCGTGTATTAAACGGCAAAATACACGTTCTATAAATAGACGATTCCTTCAGAAAAACTCGTTACAAATACCGATATTTTATAAGGGGGTCGAACACGCAAATTCCAAGAAACCCTAACAGGATTCGCGTCAGTGCTGGCGTGGCTAGTGTGAAATTTAACTGTCGATAACAAGGCAGTAATATATTATTGGATATTGTATATGATATATGGCCTAGCTAAATGCCCACTGTATGACTGTGGAATGGAGGAAAGACTAGTATAAATCAAGCAGATTTTCGAAATGTAAACTTGACCTAAACTTGACCTATAGATTGTTATTGTAAGCATGTACCACTGATGCACGTGTTTCAGATTGTTTAAGCTGACGTCGGAGGTTAGGGTTTTTTACGTTGTGTATTCGGAGCGGCCTACATGTATCTCAAAGAGCATGTACATGTGTACCACTGTCCTTAGTTATTTGTGAATTGTTCATATGACAGGATAAAAGTGATAACTGGTAGTAGAAATATTAGCGCTGCATTTATTTCAGAGATGATGGGATATGCTTAATATATAATATGCTTCAAAGATGGTTGACAAATGAAATATACACAAAAAAATAAAACCGTTAGTATACAGTTCGGCAATTTAACACCATCATTAAGTATAATTTTATTTTGAAGAAGTCTGTACATTTTGTTGGCTGACTTGCATGCTTCCTTGGCAGTTCTCTTGTCCTCCTAGAAAGCAAAGGTCACACTAGGTTGTTGTTCTCTGGATAAGGACGAGAAGGACACATAATGTGGTAGGTTTAGATGACTTAATATTATCTCCTTTTTGGCACAAATCGCACTGTGGACTGCGACAAACACCACAAGAAGATGCATGTTTCACTGTAATGGTTTTTCTGAGTAGAGGCAATCATTGTGCAAGTCGTGGGTAGGTACCATCGGGGATGAGAAAGAAGTAAGTTTTCTAACACGCACTGGCGTCTGTATCGAGTGGGTTCTCTCACACTGGAATTTACGGAGAATGAAGCTGGGAATAAGGGCCAGTTTTGAAGTCCTTCTCAGCTCAATTGATATTACCCTTAATCATGATCACCAAGCAGCAACATTAAAGCTAAGCACTGTATTGACCCTTGTAGATCTTTCCAAGATGACACAGAATTAAACCTAAACCCAATATTCTTTACATGCAGGTTGGTCCATATTAAAATGTTCGCAATATATTCGTTTGTTAATCCATTAGATAATTGATTGGTTGATTTCAGTCTTCTATAAGCTTATTTGTTTAAACTTCTTCATTTACGTATTTTATTTCATATTTCATTGCACACACCTATTATATTTATACTCAATTTTGTCTGTCTCTATCTAAAAGAATACTGTAATACAGGGAAGAATAATACATTCTTATGTACTTAACGGTGTAGACAATCAACCGTTGTCAATCTGACATTGAGACTCAAGCAGTACCACGTATTAGTCTAATGGATATTGTCAATGGCTTAGTAAACTTATTTGAACTGATACCGGATCCAAGCTGGTGACTGGGTCTTAAATTGTGAAATATTTTGATTTCGCCTTATCTCCTCTTCGCCAATCTAACTTTATATGTGTATTCGTGGCGCTGGAACCGGTTTGTATGAAAAAGAACACATATAAAAGCCAGTACTTTTGTTTGGCAATTATATCACTTTGCTGACCTGGTCTACATGTTTAGAATAGGCTGTAAGGAGAACGATTGTGCATCATTTTCAAATGACTTTTTTTCTGATTAAGTAAAGTAATATAAATAATGCTTATCTTCATTTCAAGTTTCGCATGGCGTTTAACATGGTATAAGAGATACAGGATTCTCGGATTGCTGTGATCTATTCTAAAGAGAGGGCCCCATTCCTAATAGTCGATAATTTCACGAAATTCATTATGTGAAAGGTTGAACTTTAATGTCAGTATTGTCGTCTTGATGCAATGTCTTGATGCAAATAGCGAGTGTTAAATTCGTTTTGTCTAAAATTTGGGGCGAGCTGTACTCAGCACGTGCTTGGCAAACAAATATCAACGGACTTTAAGGTAGAAGAGCATTCGATTTTGCCATTAACGAGTAAGCGACTGTATCTGTTGGCGGCTATACTGCAGCATATGATTCTCTTGTGGTTACACAAATTGTTCCCAAGAAGTGTTCCATCACTGTAGTTATCCAAGAACTTCAAAATAAAGCATTTGCCAAGAAGCATACACCTGCAAACTGACAATAGCTTGCACGTATTTGCTTGTCTGTTTTCTGGGGAAATGGATGAATTGTAATGATTGTCTAGCGGTGTTCAACCAACCATCCACTCAATAACATGCATATGTGAAACGATTCAGCTGCTGTGAGATCTTATCAAAAAGAAATCACTTGGTCGGTGCATAAAATTAATGTTTATCCTTTTGGGAGCTAAATGATTTTGTACACCGTTTAATTACACACTTAATAAAGATTGGACTTAATAGCAAGGTTATCTCATGGTAAAAAGCTCTCTGCTTGAAAAGTAAGTCATTTGTCACTAGGATATAAACATACAGTTAGTAAACAAAAATTGCTACCAGGCAATTAATTTCTACTGTGTGCATCTCAAGACGAATTGGTTCATCTATACTGATGTAGGTGGTCGCTGTAGTATGCAACGCTGGAATTTCTTGTTAGCAAAAGTTATGAAGATTATAACAAATTCTAGCCCAAAAGGGCTAATTTTTTATTTAAAAAATCTAATGAAAGATTGATAAAGACAATTTTGATGAGCAATCATTTCCGTTGCTGTGGATCACGCCGTGTTAAGAGCTCAGACAACCAAACAAAAGAAATCACGATGCGGATATGAGTGTGCTTCTTGTTTTCGAAGTTACGCACTGGAAAACAGGTAAAAGTTGAGTCATCCATTAGATAGTGGAGATAATACTTTTGACAATCCTTTCAAATTAACGAACAAATACAACGTGATAAGGCGTTGAATGTGCAAAAATAGATAATGGTATTCTACCATCTGTGTCGCTCTTACATGCCCTCCTTAATTCCATTCCTAGGAAGAACCCTCGTTTTTTTCACGGCAAAAACAAAAACGGGAAATATGTGTCGATTATTGAAAACAACTATACCTGTGTTCGTGATAAATACAATGGATATAGAGCATACACTCGTAAGTTAATGACAACCAGACACAGCATGTGAAATACGGAAAGCATTCGAATACACGTAATTGTGCTGACGTTTATTACAAATTGTCAGTAAACAGCTTATTTTCAGAGCTCGGCACTCGTACCCCAAGGGGTACTCAACTAAGTATTAAGGTTGTATCTGTCTCCAAGAATTAATCCTACCGGCTTCTTGTGCTCTATGGATGCCGCATATTACACGGCATTAATAAAACAATTTTTAACAATAGGCAAGTCGGAGGGGTGTCGCCATTAATCCATTAACACGTCTCCAAGGAGGTGCTCAGTTAGCACGCGAAACACGGTTTTGTGTATTCGGAAGGTTGGAATTGATGAAATGACATATGTGAATAGACGTTTGTTGTCTTAGCTCGTCTATCTCACTGCTTTTGATGACACGGTAAAATATAAAAAATATTGTTTACCATGCAGTTTAATTAGCGATACCAGACCTTGCACAAGGACACCAAGGGGTTCTAACTGTGATCTGCCGAGCAAACGGAAGTCTACCTCCAGGCTCTGTCTTTTGCGATGTTTGGTTTTGTTAATAAGACAAACACTGTTTCAAATAGCTAAATGAATATTGCAGTTTTGAGCTAATATTTAGATTTTGATTAATCCGTCATTGCTATTCTCCAAATAATTTTTAACAAACATTATAGCTGCATCATTGGTAATGGAAAGATGAGTTGATAAATAAATTGATGAATGCACAGGTTAACAAGTGACTGCGAGTTCTTCGTTTTACATTGAAACATTCTGCTTATTCAAAGTTTACTTGAATGAAGTACAGGTACTTTAAATTTGTCTTTCATAATTTTTAGAAATCTCCATGCGTAATACATGTATGAGCACTACCAACAGGTAAATCGAATAAACAATTTTTCATTCATGCAATCATACATTTTGGTTTATCCACCATTGGACATTTTTTCATTGAACATTGATACAAACATTTGTTTTAACAATTCTGCAGCAAGCTGTTCCATACGTACATAAAAGTGTCCACGTTGAGAGAGGTTTTACTGTGGTACAGATCCATGACATATTAATAAATGCAAAGGGCAATAGGGCCTCGCCAATGTTGCACTAAGACCCAAACTGGTCAAATGCAGTTGTGATACGTCTGCATGTTTATGACTTTAATGAAGAGGCAATGATTTCCACACAAAACTTGAATAACTGCTGACTGTGTCACCGACTAAACATGCGATGCTACGCCTACATTGGTACATTTACATTACTCTGCTATAATACTTAAGCTTTGAAGTAAATTTGTTGGCAAGCAATTTCTGAGATTTGCTACTTTTCGTTTTCGAAATAATCGGAAGTCTATTAGGTACAGAATTAACCCCACTGCTGTATTCATTTTTCTTCATTATTGGCAGACCAATCCTGTGGAAAAGTACAGATTACAGATAGTAATACGTCATTTTATTTCGCACGTGATGCCCGAGTGCGTGCTAAGATACTGACGTTGTACATGCCCACACGTGTCAACGAGAAAACAAGATAACTAGCGAGAAGGGCTTCGTATATATAGGGAGATGTGGACTTCAAAAGAAATGATATTCCTGTCATACAGTTGGACAATTGGAAGCATGGCGCAGAAGGGATTGTTAGTTTAACTGATGTTTTCACCCACTATAGCAGGGAAGGAGTCGAGCTACGTGTGGATAATTTTCAACGAAACAGAGAAAAGACTATCTATAACGGCAACATACGCGTCCATCCATCATTTTGAAGACTTACAAAGAAGAAACACTTCAACTTTACTCAGGTAGACTATAACTTTTTCCCATTTTTCCACGAAAATTATCTTATTTTTAATTTTGTTGGTTTTGCTCTGGTTGTTTGGCAGTCAGTTTTTTTTTTGTTTGTTTTTTTTTTGCATTCAGATGCAGGAGGGGAACAACGTAGATAGGGAATATTTACGGTTCATTCAAGTTCATTGATTAGGAAATCAACCATGAAGTAGGAAATTCATCTAACGGGAATAAAACAGCAACGTTCTGTGACATTAAGATACACCGTTCTTTTACTGTTCGAGTTTGTCCATATCATGTATGCAAAAGAGAAAAAGTTCTAATTGACAATATCCGGACCTTTGAAATCAATTTGGCGTTTTCCCTTATTTTCCTGCTGGCATAGCATCAAGTATCTCAATGAAAATGAGAAGACAAAAGTTGAGAAGCTTGTTAAGACAAAGACATGAAAAGAAAGACAATTCATTGAGTTTTGATGAATTTCGTAGCCATAGCTTTAGAATTCATTTTAGAAATACATTTGTAAATCAAAATTTCCCCAAAACAAACAAATCACATTTCTTATCATACACTGTAGTTATCATCTTTCTAAATTTATCGTTAATCGTTTAACTTGAAATGAACGCAGTCATATTGTTATTCATTTCTTTTATCTTTAACGCAGTGGCGTGATAGTAGTTTTTTGCTTTGTTGATCAAAGATACACGCAACCTAAACGCACAAAGAAATTGAGACAGTAAGATTACCCGTTTTAAGTCGAGAAAAGTAAAAAGTTTAACCTTGAAAACCTTGAAACAAACCTTGAAACAAATAACCTTCAATTGAAAAAAATTCAGACCCTTTCACATTGTTTTTTAATTCAAATTTCGTTAGTGATAAGAATTAATACTTTGAGTGAACAAGAAAATTTAAAATTTAGATTAACATGCTACCGTGGGTTTCATGACAGAGAATTGCTCACATTTCGGACCAGGATACCTGTGTTAATAATTCTCTTGAAAAACCTTCGTTGATTGATTGAAAAATCCTATGGGCAAAATGGGTAAAATCGCTCGCTGCTCTCCTCACCTTTTGGGCAAGAGTCTTCTCAGATGGATGTCCCATATCCACTGTTGTACAGTGTTGTAAACGTGATCAGAACTAGAGTAAGCATGAGTGCGCATGCCTCTATGTCAGTTTCCTTCGAAGGCTCAGAATGCACAGGTTTCTATTATATGCTATTTTCTTTCATGTTCTATTCTTTATAAGCTATTGAAACGAGTGATGTACCCTAAAATATTATGAGATATACTGAAACCAACGTTTTGTTTCAAAAACTTGCGTTTTACAGAAGAACTTGAAAATATTATGTTTTTGCTTCGTATGATTGAAAAGCTTTATTTTAATGAATGTTAATGATAAGTTCCCGTTTCTGTAGTGATCTAAATATCAAAAATGTAAAACTAGGAAAAAAGGATAGCGGAGATAATAAGAGCTCAATGAGAAAAATGACCAAAAATGCCAGGCACGACAATTCATAACTATTGCCTTTGAGCCCCATATTTTTTCCTGAGAGAAGCCTCTTCAAAGATCAGTGAATCAATTACACCAGTCACCGTGGGACCCGCTATCGCACTCCATGTTGGCTTGGGGAAATTAAATCGTCTTGAACGTGAAATAAAATGCTCTGGACTTCTAGGAAGAAGGCCAGTTAGTCATTAGCGCCTCAGCACGTTTTAGAGGGGGCGTAAAATAATCTTTCCCGAAAAAAATTTAAAAAAATGATAATAAATCAGCTCAAACCCCATCCGTGAAGGCTTGGTTCATATCATGTCAAATGAAATGGGTATATTATTGGAGGGTATAGCCGTTTAATGTATTTAGATATGATTTATCTTGACGTATGCAAGGTGGGTGTGAAGTACCACCGGTTGGGGAATATTATACAAATATATAACTCGTTAAAATCAGACGTCAAGAAACCCGTTCAAGCCGAAGTAATTAATTTTCAATGAAACATGTTCTCTTTTCGTTAAGAAGCGGACTGTTGCTCTTATGGTGGGCGTTTTTTCTTCCTTTCTGTTTTTTTTTCTTTTTTTAAGGAGGGGGGTGGGATAAAATGTGATTGATGTAGGAAGTATCTATCCTATATGATACGATGTCGTGATGAAATGATAGATTGGAAAACAACACAAAAAATCACGTTGTATGTGTAAAATACACAGAGACCACACATTATAGTAGGAAATCGATAGCTTTTAATTTAAGTTCTGTTAACATTAATATTTGGACACCTGAAAGTAAATTTGGGCAGATACAATCCAATTTAAAAGGCATTGATTAAAGTGCAAAATCCACGGATCATTTACGGTGATCTTACTCGTCTTTTAACAAATTTTTTCAGTAGTATTGTTGTTAACTATCTCATAATATGATCTTATCGAGCACATTGGAGAAAAATGCATAACTGTTGATGTATTTAGATATTATCAGTTTTTTATTCATAATGTAATTTATGGACACGTTTCTTCAGTCCGCTTGAACTAAACGTGCTGTACAGAAATTATGTCACTTATTTACCCGAGTCGCATAAGGAATATTAAAGACATGCAACAAGGTTAATGTATATTTGAGAAAATCTTAATACTCTTCTTCTCGTTTTGTACGAGTTTCCTGGCAAAGCAGATAGATTGGGTCACTATAAATCAATGTCTCACAATTCCATATGAGGGTTTTCACCTATTTTCAAAAATTTGGTTTCAACCCGTTACTGCCTATTAAGAGATCTTGAAACGAAAACCAGGATTTCACTCTGACTAAAACAATAACTAAAATCGTGGGTGTATCTGGTATGTACTAATACGGCAAAATATTGCATATGCATATGATTGCGTACATTTGCCCTTCAAGTCTGCTCTTAAATTAGCTTAAGAAGTCATCCTTTCATCCATCCTCGTGTAATGACAGCACGTGTATTACTAATGTACGCTGAATTATTTATCAACGCACGGCAGCTTTGCCATCTGAATAAACAGAAATAGTCGAAGGCAGGCGCCGTCAGCAACTTTGCATCATTAACGTAAAGTCATTATCTTCAGCGTGGACAATATCAACTTGTGATGCAACAGGGCTTATTGGCATTCCATTGTGCAACTCAGTCCCAGGCCCCATGGTTTTCATTGAGTTTCCATTGGGAATTTAACTCTTTACAAGCTTCCTTACACTTCTACTTGCCTATTGAGAGGAAGTGAAACCATCATTCGGTCTCGAGTTACCCATCAGCATAGCGAGCTCGGGCCAATGTGTCACTTTTGCAGCAATCTATGTTATGTTTTGCGTTAAATGCACCACATGCTATTAGAACAGTTGATTTAGATCTTTTATGTTGTGCATAACGTGCATTATATTGCTTAAGTATGGAGGATTTACCTTTTTATGTTTTGTTAAGCCCAAAAACTTACTTGAAGACCCAATAAGGTAAACATTTGTTACGCTCATTGATTCTCAAGAGCAATACAGAATCTGTTCTTTAGATCTATTTCTACTACGTAGATCACATTTACTGGTAATGGTCATTCGCGTAGATCTTCCGGTAGCAATGAATGGTTATTTAAATTCTGTTTCCGATACAGTTTTGTAGAGGCAACGCTCGCATTTGCATGGTTTTAGCGTCCTCCGTTGCCAACAATACAAATTTTTTCTTGAACTTTGACCATGGAATGATTGTTGTTTTCTTCAGAGTCAATGCCTTGGCTTTTTAAAAACATTCTCTTGTACTTACACCATTAAAGCATAAAGACTGAAAGCGAAGATCCCTACTGTTATATGATAAAGAGTTTACTTGCCCATTTACTTACATGTCAACAAAACTTAAGCAAAAATAAGATACAGATAAGCCTTATGATTTCTGAAAGCTATAAAACCTCACTAACAAAGTCGTGCCCTAAACTGGTTTAATGCTTGATAAATTCTTTGTGTGCACAGATAGCTATCCCTTTTTAGTTTTCATATAGAGTTACATGTCTCCATATTGGTACCATGGGTATATAGAATGCACTCCTACTAGAATGCCAATTCTGTCTCCTTAAAATGCCTTTTAGTCTTCCTCTGTTATCTGTTTCTAGTGAATATTCAGCCTTTGCTTCTTACCTTTGTTGATATTTAAAATGATATCCATATACTTGGTGGATTGCATAGTTTGCAGATGCTGTGTTGTGAAAACTAGCTTACAGGTTACAGGTGGTTTAATCTTTTGTTATTATTTTGAAAACAAAAAGCTGATTTTCCACCAGATAGCGTAGTACATTCAGTCGTGTCGTTGGGACGATCTCTGAATTGGCCTAGTAAACATAAAGAGGACATGTTAAATGTCAGTTAGTTATATAATCGTGGATCCAAAAAGATGCAGTACTGGAGTTACTGTTTTAATTGGGTTTACTTTGGACAATGTATTCTTATGAACACAGAAGACAAAGATTTTTTTAATCTGCAACCTATAGACTCGCTTGGGCGCTCCGAAAGATGTTTTAACTGTGATGTAAAAAAACAAACTTTAAATGCCGTCATAAACATAGTTGTTATTTGTGTTTTGACCTGTTTCGTGAACCAGAAAAGAACTACGAAGTTTCTCCAGAGAAATCAAAACAGTTATCACATTTTCAGTTGTGGAACTGACTAATGAGTTATTATTGGCATGCATTAGTTTTGCGATATAGCCTCTACCTACTGATACATGCCTTCTGATAAATGGCATCGCAGGAAAATATCTTACACACGTTCTTAATTTGAAAGATGTTTTAGCTGTGATGTTTTTATGCACATATCCATGATGTCCACAGATGGAAATGTTGGAGAAAACCCAAAACCAATTTTCAAACATGATTTTTTCAAAAATCTATTGATCCTCCGTCCGCTTCATCAACTCGAAAGGAGCAAAAATTCTATCAGTATTTATTCCAATTCACTGATCCATATCGCCCAGGTGAAATCAATTGCCAATTACTGTTCTGTAGCGACACTTGCCGACAGAAATCTAAATCATGTAAGTGATTTGATTAACTGGTATTATATCCATCTGTCTAAATATAAAAGGTAATTTGTCTTCCACGGTTGGTTTGGTTCGTTGTCAGGAACAAAGCTGTTTGCCTTCTTATATTGAAATGGCACAGCATCGATTGGGTTTACAGGTAGTGATACTTTTTTGTTTCGTTTCATTAAATGCACACAGTACTCGAGGCTTAACATTCAGTTTCCCAATAATACCACATGAAAGAAAACCGTTGAAGTGAATTTGTGGAGAGTCGTTGACTGTTCAGCGAAATCCGTGTGAATAGCAAATAAGATATGTATTTTGTATCATAATAGGAAATCGGATGTAAGCCGCACGTATAAAATGATACATAGATAGTGAATCTGTGTAAACTTGTTCTAATTTAATATAAATCGATTTAAGTCGCCGACTGTCCTTTGGGGGCGTTACAACAATGTTTTAGTGTGTCGATCGCAGATTATCAGTAGTTAGAGAGATATTGTGAAACCTACATCTTAGCCTTTATGATCTTTGAAAAGACTTATCAAAACGGTCAAACGGGAAGGCATATTATTTAATCGGAAATTGAAACCAGCAAAAAGAGGCAAACATACCAGTCATACCCTATTTTGACTAATTGTCACGAACTGAAGGTCATAAAAACAATAAACTTATAGTAGTAAGTGCATTGAACTTGCTTTATCTCAAATGAGCGGAGTTACCATCTTTTCGGTTCTACCCGTTGTTTTTAAACCTCGTGTTTGAATGAACACCGCGTTTATTGATATATATATAAGGATATATGTCCTTGGAGGATATGATTAAAAGTACAGGCTTATAGAGATCTGGATCCAAAAAAAATAAATGAATGATAACGTGTTATATAAAGCACATCGTGGTTTGCTCAAAATACTTGTGCGCGCTCTACATACTAACCATTTCTTTTCCTTTTTTTTTTTTTTTTTTTTTTTTTGAAATAAATATTTGGCCACTGAAGATAGCGACACTTTTTTTCTGAATAACTTCTAACGCGCCGGTTATTCATACGCTTACTCTTCAAGTAAGGTGTGCACTGTGCAGCCAAGGAAACAACTTTTGTCGTGTTTATTGAATCACTGTTGCACATTTTGCGTGAAAATCCTATCAAGGCACGCAAATACCAGATTGTTTTACAAGTGCCACTGACTAATTTACGCCATGTGCAAGCTAACAAAACACTAAGATGAAACTGCAGTGTTATAAGTGAACGGCAAGTTTACGTTTCATTTACCTATTTCACCTATGAGCAAGTGTAATGTAGAAGTGTAATGCAATTGGGAAAAAGACCTGGATTACTTTGTGCTTGAAAGCAATTATCAGGAGCCGATCGAGGCTGTCTTTTGGGTCTTCCGGAGGACGGTCAGATTTTCAAGTTTACCTTGATGGGTATCTAATTTCAAAAATGGAAGAGGGATCAACAAAGATAATTTGGAAGACTGTCAGAAAATATCTCTGGATCCGCCCCTGATAATACGTAGCCTCTTGCAAGTGAAGCAGGAACCTCGAGACTTTGTCAGTCCAATCTTAAGGCAAAGGGAAAACGAGATAAACGTTCACTTATATCACTGCAATTACATTTATGTGCTCTATGTATTTCCAATTTTGTTTTTCAAAAACTATGTATCAGAGTCACTTTATTACTATATCTTCCTTATGATGGTTTAATATGTATCAGAGTCACTTAATTACTATATCTTCTATTATAATGGTTTAATATGTGGACTATTTAAACAGAAAGGAGAGTCTTTCTGAATGCATAATCTTCCAGTCACAAAGATATGTATGTATAGAAGAAAGTCAATTAAACTGAGGGTATATTCATGACCACTAACCCCGTCATTGAGGCCCCCCTTAACGAAACACTGGTTTTTAATACTTTTTAATACAGCAAACGTGTGTGTGTGTGTGTGTGTGTGTGTGTGTGTGTGTGTACTGCAGTAAGTAATGTTGATCAGTATTGTGAGTAAGCGTGTGACCCTGCTGATACGATCAGTTTATCAGTGATAAATGAAGACGAACAGGGAATAGCTCCAATAATTCATTTAATAGCGCGTCACATTAACCGGTATGAAATTACTTCCGGCAAACGTGATAGCTCCGATAGTAGAACGTCCGAGAAAGAGATAAAACCATCTCTGCTGGGCACACTTCCATTAAGTACCGTATCTTTTGCTCTGTTGATCAGATTTACAATGCGTATGTGTAGGAATCGGAGGAATCGTGTCATTCATTTAAACACTGCGTGCATGTGCTGATAACAAAACCTTGCTTGGCAAAGCACTGTAAAAACGTAACCAAGTTGAAATTATGCTGTCGACAACCTTTTAAAAACGGTTCTTCTATCCCAATTCCTTGAAGACTTAACTCGAATCTTAAATCCATGAAAAAAAAAACCCATGTGTTCGCGTTTACAATTCCAATTTTGTATATCCGATCTATCATACATCTTGTCACTAGGAGCCTCTGTACGTTATCTCGTAGGTCAATTATTGCGTGTTTTTCTCATCACAAGTGCTCCAGAAATGATTTACCGATACAGCTAATCAATTTTAATGTTTACGCACTCATCTTCCTTTGTGTAGAAGTTAAATCTCTTTGTCGCTACAAGTTTGCTATCAAAGTAGGAACAGTGCTGTAAACAGTGCTTTGCCGTTGTGGATAACAAAGTTACCGAGTACGATCCATTAGAGGTTTAAAAAAATTACCAACAGTTCAAATGATATTACTTAAGATTGTTGTATCTGTCTTGTCCCAAAATTACCAAAAGTACCTTGTGGGAATACATACATCTACATTTTTAGCATATTTGCATAAAAACCTTCAAACAAACAAACTTACAAATTGTCGGACATTTTACTATTTCTTAACTATTTAAGCTGTTTCAGAAAAGAACAAAGCCCAATTAACCCTTGTATCCATACATCTATACCACATCATTTCATCAACGTACATTCGATGCTAAATGGTAACAAGTGTTCATCTAGAAGCACAAACGGGATTTATAAGCTATTGGTAATGCAAGATGTCTCTTTCAGATAATTTGTTTTTCGGCTTGCAATTTTAAATCTAGAAAATACATCGCTTTATAATCTTTATATTACTGTTAAATTATGAAAATGTTCCGTGCAGCGAAAAGTGCTTTCTTATTTCATAATGTGTGAGAAGACAAAGCCCGTGCGTCAATTTGTGACCTTTGCAATGGCGAGTTAAGACAAATGGCTTTTCTTAATACCATTGCCAATCCTCAATCCCTCGCATTTTTGTCGCGTTGGAAAATACGCTTTCTTAATTTGCATTGCATTCAGGAAATTTTCTAATTTTTAAAAGGTTGTATGGGCAGTCTTAATCTTTACCTCATTTCAACGATCCATTTTCTATTGAGCTCAAAAGGCTGGATAATAAAGTTAACCAACGGTAGATAAGTGGACGAAACAAACTATATTTATTGTTCAGATAAAAACTGAAAAGTATTACAAAATGTTTAAGGATCAGATTTCGCGACAAATAGATTTTTTGTCTTTTATGCCAGTTTTGTTCGTTGTTCAAATATGCATAATGCAGCTCATATCAATAATTCATTAAAACGCCGTTGATACTGCATGGAAAAAGAGTTGCATTTTGATTTAAGAGAGATATCCTAAAACAATTTGCATTTGTTCAGATTACACAATGTTCATTATATGCCCATTGCTGCGGGGGCAGGGGAATTCGGCGGAAGTTTTATATGTTACGTTCGTTTCACTAACTATAAATTGGATGTAATCTAGTGGAAGTGGAATCATATTCCACTAAAAAGCGACCGTCGTCAAATCGTCTAATGCCTGTAGTTTTAAATAATCATAGCGACAATAAAAAGGATGTAAGTTTCCCGTCTAAAGCAAGTGCTGAACCGAGAACAGAGCAGTTTAGAAGCCGCACAATATTCCTTCCTGCCAACGTGACACATTGACGACAGGTGTTGACGAAGGTGAAAAGACCAAATCAACACGTTTTGTCTCTAATTAATCAGGCGATAAGCCGATCTGTTGTAGTTTGCACGAATTCTTTTCATTGTATTATTTTTTCGTCTTAATAGGTGAGCGAACACAGAAAGCGCTCCTTCGATGTTCACGATTGCAATGCACAAGGGTATCCTAACGTTCCTTGTCTTTGTTGGGCTGGTTTCTCTTCTGGACGCCTTTCCTGCGGCACTACAGAGAGACGCAAGAGCTGGATTCAGAAGTCACGATCCAGGTTACGGACATAATTTCGGTAAAAGGAAAGCGTGGTTAGAAACGATGCGGAATAGACTGTTAAACACAAGAGAGAGCGAAAGGTAAGATTAACAGATGTACACAAAAGGGACATTTCAGCAGATTGTATTGAATGTTCATTTTGGATAGCCTGTGGTTATGTCAGTTACATCCTTTTAAGTATCTAAATCACATTCATACGCTAACCGCAAGTAATGTATGTAACAGCTCATTCTGTATAGGCTTGGACATAATAACGATATTTTAATTTTGTCCATGGTATAAGCAAAGTGGAAATGGGTATTTTTAAAACTTGGAACTCGTTGGAGTGATAGTTTGAAAATATTTGGGCCCTGGAAATTAATTTTAATGTTAAATACTCTGCGTCAAAACCTTGCAGTCTGTCTTTTTTAACTAGACTATACTTCGGTATTTGTACAACGACAGTTAACTTACGAGTCAATCAACTTCATCCAAAGAAAGATACCTAATGCAGCTTTTATTAGTGCGATGTAAAAAACCTTATTTTAATTCAGCTGTTGTAAGTTGTAAAAGATGGATACTTTATGCACTATCGCTTTCGAAGAGTAAATACATCATAAACGATCATGTTGAATACGATCAAGTGGATCTAAGGAAATTGGAATTACGATCAATTTGCCCCATATGCTACGACGTGAGTGAGCTGCCTACTCTTCCATCTGCTCTACTAGATTTTACAGCTGTTTTATTAAGGCGTATTATCGAATACTAATTTGATAACCGTATTTAATCATTCATATATATATATATATATATATATATATATATATATATATATATATATATATATATATATATATGGTTGCCATGTATTACTTACGGAAGAAGCGCGATGACCTGCAATACCCAAAACTTAGGGGGTAGTTTGCACGAAATAATTCATGAAACCGGTTGTATTTATACCATTTTAGTCATTCACTTATAGGCCATTTGCACATGCACCTCACTCGTCCATACAAAACGAATGATGTATCCATACATATTTTCCAAATAATATTTTTAAAATTTATTTGGAAGGTATCTATTAACTCACTAATGTCACCGTTATCATCATAAGCCTGAGTGTATGGTCTCGAATTCCCATTTGTTTTAATCAGTGGTGTTTGAATCGAATGAGCACCCAGAAATCTTGAAGTCTGTGCTTGCTCCTATACACGTACGTGTTTTGGATGAGATGGGAGTGGTCACGACACACTGCCCGTCTCAGCCCTCACATCTCATGTGGGATATCAATTTACATGGCATTGAAATCAGGACACATTGTGTTAGGAGTACAGCGAAAGCATACTGGTATTAAAGCCCACTCTCTGGCCACAATGTGCGCTAGTAGTCTGTTAGAAAAGTGTTGTATCACACCTATACATTTTAATTTTGTATACTATTTTAGAGGCCCCTGATATAAGAGGGTAGTAAAGGCAATGGTGACCCTACTTTTTTACAGACCCCATTGATTTTACCATCTGCCATGCATTCATTTCATTTTAATTTCTTTGTATGTTTGAATAAAACGCCCAGGCTGCACTATTGAAATATCTGTGTAAATATATGTAACACGTAACCGCAAATAGGGGAGATAAAAGTGCTGCTCTGTATTGGTTGATTGTATGTTGTGCACGTATGAGTACATAAACGTTACCATGCACTTTTGCTTGTCGTGATCTTTAAAACCATGAGTAAATCCATATATACTGTTATGCTTTTGATAAATTGATGGTATTTATTTCAGCCCCTTAATGACCAACGAAGAATTAGCAGATTTACTCAACGAATCTTCACAGATCGCAGATGTTTTTGTAGATAGAATAGTAGACACAAACCGTAAGTAGTCGCCGAAAGTGAATAAATGGTAAATGGCTATAGAGGTAAATAAGTAAGAAGTAAAATATTTAATCATAAACGATTCATTACCACCTTTTTTATCAAAAATTAAGGGTATAATGAACACAGGGATCTCGGTGAACTACAAGCTATTAACATAACAAGTCTACCTATGCGTGTTTTCTTCCGTCTGCTTTGCAGGGTGAAGACTTGGCGCGTAACACGCGTCATCATTTTGCCGTGTGGGTTAGTTAAAAGAAAATTACACTGTAATTGAATATAAGCGACCCCCCCCCCCAAATGTTACTGAAATTTTCATATATCATGGGAGTAAGAATCATCTGACATGGTAGACATTTCTTTTCATTAAATGTCATTTGGGTCTATGTCTACTTTCAGGTGACGGAGTAGTGACGCGACAAGAGTTGCGATCGAAGCACCTGATAAGTCAGCTGTGAAAAAAAAGCAACCGCCGGAAATTAATTGCGGATCTGAACTAAATTGCTTTATTTTTATACTCTCATTGGACGACAGACGCTGCTGGATAGAAAAGAACATATTCGGGGAACTGGGTTAAAAGCGTAGAACATGAGCCGGATGAACTTTGTTTGTTTTCACCATTTAATCTATATGAGGAAACCACAGTGATTCAGAGTGTAAAGTACATATTTGTAGTTGTTTACGACAAAGATTTTATGTTTAGATGTGCCATTAAAATTTGAGCAATTATTCACCATTTAGCTTTTTTTGTGATTACTTTCTGTTGTTATCTAAAGAAAGAACTGATTTATCTTGGTAGATCGAAATTAAACAGGCTGATTGTACATGTATTAAGGTTTAATGATGATGCCGAGTTGTGTGAATTCTTTTTGGTCATTCTTTATGTGATAGTTTTAAGTTTTCTGACTTCTGTATGTAGACCATGATTTTTATTAGATATTGATTACGGTAAGGTCATAAAACGTTATGCATCATGATCAGCGTGGCTTGTTTGTAAGTATGTTTTAAACATGTAGACCTAGTATAGAAACATGCTTTCATGTTCAAGACATGTATGGGGGGAAAATAACCCAACAAAAATATTCTCTTTATTGAATCAGTACAAATGGCCCATTAAAAATATCAAGAGCAACACATTTCCAAAACAAAATACAACCGTAAGTATCATCTCAGTGTTTAAAATATTTTCTGATAAATATGATAATAAACTGATCACAATTCGAGATGTTAAGTACGTACTTTCCATCAGAAAAAGGAAAGAGAAGAAGTAATTTCAAACCAACTAAATTGGAAATCTTGAATTTTTTTCATTATAATTTAGTCATATGATCTTTTAAAAATACATATTAATACGTAGATGGCAAACAATACTAGTCAGCACAAATTTACAAGTATTAACTATTGGTTGATAATTAGCTAATCAACCCTATCTGTTATATAACGGATAATGTTCTTTAGATTTAAGTAGACGACTGTCACGTCCAATTCTACTCCATTTTCAAATAAAAGTTGTTCAATGCTTTTGTCATTTTTTCGATTCTAATAGCGTTGTTGTCAATATGCTCTAAGACTTAATATGCAACTAGAATAAAAGCAGTGTGAGAAGCAACCAGTGAACTCAACAATCCCAAACGTAGGAAATGATATATTGATAAGAGCTACAGTGTTGCTTACATCACTTTCACTGGATTCCATACACCTACTGTCTAAAACGTAACACGCTCATTGTCCATGTAATTATTGACCCATTTCAAACTCTTATCGAAAAAAAGCATTCACGCTTTAAAGGTATCTGTAACTACAAATGTATTTAATTCCTCTTTGTTCTCATAAAATACAAATCGTTTGGGCGGTATACATGCGTATCATATCCGAACTGACTGACAACAATCCTCTTCATACCAAAATCAAGAACCAGAACGCCCTCAGGCCAAGTAGAGTGTGCAGACTTTGATACAGATGAAAAGAAACTCGGTAACTATCACTATTCCCGACATCCTTCTATTTTGCAGCACTCCTGATTCCAGTGACACAACGGGGAATCGGTTTTCTGCGTGGACCAACGTGAATCTACAAAAACAATAGCAATGACAGAAATAATAACGATGCACTGCTTTTTCTAACAATCTGCATACAGTAAGGTGCAAATTGTTCACAAAATAATCAAAACCCAGTAGTAACGAAAAGGGTGTAAAAGTCTTATGGTCATATTTGGCTCTCACTACAAAAAACCAAACCAGTTACTTGGAAACTTCTGACCACTGCTGTTATGACTGTGTGCTTAGTCAAGCAAGTAGTATCCATTGTAGTAGTGGTACATATATTAATACCACTGTTAGAATTATATGTCAAACTAGCAAAGCACTGAGAGAGCGCAGACCTCCGCCAAGGCAGCAAAGTCTGCATCCAATGCTGTTTCACCCCTAAATTTTCGATATTTTTTCTTATTGATTGATTATTGATCCGGATCAAACACTAATCATCTCTTCCTTAGCCCACTTCTGACAGTTCCTCAAAATTTCATCAAAATCGGTCCATAACTTTTTGAGTTATGTTGATGACAGACAAACAAACAGACAGACAAACAGGGGTGAAAACATAACCTCCTTGGCGGAGGTAATTAAATAGAAACCCTTAACACAGGGTGACAACTCGGAATTATCGTTTGCCCGATTTATATTGATTCATACATCGTCATTACTTTATAGTACGCGTAAATTGTACTAGTACATGTATGTTCTCAGCCTTCCACATGTATCATTAGTTGTCTTAGATAGAGATGAGTTATATATTTTATGTCGACTGCCGCTCTCCCTAAATTCACAAAGATCCTATGCGCAGGAAAGCGGACATTATGGAAAGCTCAATTTGCGCAATATACAACACACAACACAGATGAGGGGGAAATATCATATACCGCGAATAAAAATGTAGGGTAAATACGTAATAAACCACTTTGTGTTAGACCCTTCTGACAAAATGACTTCGACAACTTCTGATAATCAGGATAATGACAAGACAAACGTTGAACAATTAAAAGAGGGAACATTTACCACAAGGGAACTTCCAATAATGGAATTCTGGCCTCTGAGTCATCTGGGTTAGTAATTTCCTTTCTTTCGCGTTCCAATTTTCATGGCATAAAATGTCATCAAGTCTGGAAAAATAGGCTAACCACGCAGAAACCCATCATGCTGTCTTGTTACAGAATTTGTGGACGTGTCGATGGTAAAGTCCACCAGTAGACGTACAGGCGCCCCCCAGTGTCCCCTTATTTGTGGATGTGGACAGAGTGAACATGACCGTGATGGGCGTGAAACCCTTCCAGGTCAAACAAAATATCCACACCATCGTCGATAGACTGTAAATAGAACTTAAAAATAAAATGAAAAGTTGTCGCAGAGAATTTGAAGGCACTTTATTTTCGCGTTTGCTCTTACCTTCTGCTTAAGACTTTAATCACGATGTTGGGCGTGTGGCATTCTCTCTGACTGGGAAGGATGCAAAGATTTTTTTATTTGTTTAGTGGTGTCGCGCTTCTTCCTAAGGACGACTCTCGAATGTGTTGATGTTGTGACGATTGCTCGTGTGTAGTAACACCTACAGCAGTCCATTCCGCATTTGCATAGTTTCTTCCATTTAGATGTGCTAGGCGCTGGTCTACGTTCATGTTACCATCCGTGGAGTTGCTGTTGTCATTTGGATGGTGATGGTTCCTATAATTTATTATTATCCTTGGTACTCTCGGGGGACAAGGCATTGGGATCCTGCCGAGCTGAACACGCGATTACACGATCATGGTGATGATTGTAATGTAAGCCGTGATTCATCGCGTGAGTCCTGTGGCACCGTGACAAGCTATGGACTGCCCGCCATAGTGTGGTTATATATTGTGCGCATTTATGGCGTCTAGATCGTCAATCTCTGTCATTTCGTGTGAAAAAAATAATGCACACCTCAGCTACATGTTGCTGACTATTGAAGGAAGGGTGCACATACCAAAGACTCCCATGGATGAAAAGTACACTCCTCTTTTATTTATTATCGTACTGATTTAAGAATCCTTTATAGCCATCGGTAAATGACCTTCGCCAATTTAAAAATTAAGATGAGGGTCATCCGGGTGAGCCTAAAATGAGGCTGTGGGCACTATGTGACGTCACACCAGACTAGGAAACGTGCGAAAATCTGCGTGAGGTGGTGTAAATAAAAAATGCACAGTGTGAGATTTTTCCTCAAAAATCTCATATTTAACAAAATATCCAGGGGTAAAAGGTATTTTCCTCCGACCAAATAGCCTTTCAACTCTCTTTTTTGACACTGGCCAATACCGGAACTTTAATTTTGTATACTGTTAATTTTTAGATACCCCTGATATCAGGAGGTAGTAACTCTGTAACAATACGGGGAAAGGAAAAAATTCTTAGCCCATGCTCAAGCACGGGATTCTCACATTTCCGCAATGCCATTGAGCACACTTTTCGCACCGACTTCGGGTTGCGCGCAATTCAGAACTGGCAAGATAATTGGTGGGCGGCAAAGTCCGCCAGGAGGTGGTAAATTTGACTTTTTTGTTGTTTTGTTTGTTTCGCTTCTTTGTTTATGAGATTCACCTAATAAGGTAAGATTAAAAAGTATTGCTTGACTTCAGATTAGTTCAACGTGTGAAATTAACGCGTGTTATTTAACTATTAAGCGACAACAGTGAAACTTTGTCTTTGAAGGCATACGAAAGTGACACATAAAACATGCTGAATGTGTTCTGATATAAGAGGAAATAATTTAAGAGGAAACAACAAGAAAAAATACGCGGATACTGCTGTGTATATATTCATTTCACCACAAATATTATTTCCTTTTTTCACTTTATCTACTACATGTTTAAACACGCTACTGTTTATCTGCATAAATAAAATCTATTTGAGCAGCTGATACATTATGTGACGAGCTGTAAGGTATGCATCCTCAGGACCTGCCTAAACCTGACTGGTAACTTATAATGTTTTGGTTTACGGCTTTATCCCCGTTGAAAATCATAAGAAGTAACAAATATTGATTGCGTTCACACCTCTGATTATGAATACCATAAAAGTAATTTAAGCCCTGGGTTTAATACTTGTGTGTTGCTTCTCTCCCTTTTGATTATGCACCTCTCCATAAACAAAAGGCTGAGTTCGAAGAATCAAATTAACACATTAGCGCTAGGGTGTTTAAGCGTTTTTTGCCAGTAATGTTTTCCTTCTTATAGAAATCGACTGATGAAGCGTGATAACCCGCAAGTCGCACATGCATTCAGCAATATTCACCAGGACCGGAGATCACAGAGCTTAATTCGAAATTGGTTTTATTATTACATGCTCACAAATAATGTCACATTGAGTTTGTGATTTAACTGCCATTGCTTGATATCACCACTATTTGAGTTTCATAAATAATTATTCAAACTAGTCATTACGGAGAATGAATTTAATCTTTTTTAATTTCTTACATAAGCAAGTTGAGGTAAGGGGCATATGCATTTTACTTTCCTTTCATTTAGGTCATATAAATAATTACACACTTACCTATGGTTATTGAGTTCATACCACCGCACGTGTCCACTGACCAAAATAGAAATGGCAAGATGCGTCGCATACACGCACGCCACACATGGATCCGTGATACATCTTGAATGGGTCTTTTTTACTTGACATCCACCGTACTGCTAAACATAAGTCAGATGAATGACCCTAAACGTTTACTATTCTATATAAGTCGGACACACTACTCGTCAGCAAGGTGTCCAAATTGTTACTTGTTTTGCATACACCTCTCTAACACGTGGTGCATACACGCGTATTTGTTGTATGTCTAGAAGACAAACATCACGTTACGGTACAGTGTCGTATCTAAGACTGCATTCCCACAGATTTAGATCGATCCATCTGGATCGACCTAACTCCCTGGGGGTTCACGCTAAATTGCCGTCAGCCGAGCGCGCACGGAAGTTAACTACCCCCTTACATATTTTAGTAGGCGGGACAAACATTTAAGCCGACTAAGACCGCATTCTCAACGAATTGAGCCAGGCTTTACAAATCCTGAGAACTAAAAATGGCGGACGTACATGAAAGAAAAACCGCCTAATCTTTTAGTAGTCTCTCCGCCTCTCACACGCCTCCCCACACGTCGTCCCTGCAGGGTACAGTAATTAAATCTCGGCTCCGTTCGCCATGCGGAAGCTACCTGAGAAATATTAAGTGCGCATGCTCATCAGTTAAACTCGTGGTGAAGAAAGCATGGCGGCTGAAGGCGATCGAAGGAAAAAAGCTCTTCTGTTCTATTATCTTTCAAAACAGAGACGAAAAAGGAATGAATTGGCCCGTAGAGCAGCAATGAATGGACTATCTACGGAGATAATATCACCAGAGATATTCACGGAGATATTCATGTTCGGAGCCGAGATTTAATTACTGTACGCCATTTTTAGTTCTCAGGATTTGTAAAGCCTGGCTCAATTCGTTGAGAATGCAGTCTAAGCCGACAGTAATCTAGTGAGACTCCCCACGGGAATAGATCGATCTAAAATCTGTGGGAATGCAGTCTATGAAGCACGAACGATGTGATCACATGGATAAAAATACTGATCCTATTTTGGGTTCGGTGATTTCATTAATCATATATTCATGCGATCATATGGGTAAAACTTGTAAGAGAAGTCCAATTTGTACATTCTAAAAATAGAAAAGCGACGAACATTGACGACACAAATGTATAAGTCACCTTCAGACGATGGTACTTTCTCTTGACTTGGAAACTGATTTAAAGACACCATTTATTACTCCAAAACTGCCAGCGATTTATCTTAAAAGTCTTAGTTCAGATTTTATAGTTGATAAAGCAAAACGATGCCTTTGTGTCATGACATTCCGTAATTAGGGGCTCAAAACTCCGTAACAAACACAATATAAAGAAAAATACTGTAAATCGAGAAAAACAATATAAAGAAAAATACTGTAAATCGAGAAAAATTATGTGACATCAGATCGGAATATAAGACCCTTATTAAGAGAAAGAAAACACAGTACATTACGCACGAGGGGAATAGGTTATTATACATAAGAAAACATAATCCGACTGAATTCTTTCAAAAATTTAAACGAACGAAAACAGTAAAACCAAACAATTTAACTGCGGATGCTTTTTTGAAACATTTTGAGACGTTGTTACGGAACCCAAAAATATGAATCAAGAAGATATAAACAAGCCTGATTATATAGATCTGAGAATAGACTCGGGTTTTCCAGAATTAGATGCTATTTTTACAGAAAATGAAATAAACGATGCAATAAGGGGTACCGGAGGAGACGTGCAGTGGTGTAAGACGCAAAGCTGAGTGGTCATTTTTAGCTGACGGTGAACGGGAGTATAGACGTGGACTTGGAGAAAAAAGCAGTTTTTCTAACAACACGGTAAGGTAACAATTTATCTTTATGCATTTGGGACAGAGAATACTTGTAGAAATAATCGGATCGAATTCAAGGGTGAAAAATCGTGCTTAATTTGCAGACAGTTTGTTTTGAAATATATGCTGCATCGACCGCCGGGGAAACAAAGAGCGTCAAGGGAAAAGAATTCCCGGGAGGCCTTTAATCGTTGTCATGTGGAATTTTTGCAAGTATGCAATCTGTTATGCCCATATCTAAGTATTTTTGGGTGTTTTATGGTATGTGCTGCAATTATAACGATGTTTTAGAGTCTTTGAAGGACCTTGTGAAAACCAGGAAGTAGTTCACAACTGACAACTGAACCGTACCGATCCACGACTGCTATACAAAGATGTATAATTTTTAATATTTTGACAATTTTTTGACGTTTATATGTCCGTCTGACATGAAATTCCACACATATGGTCACACTAATTCACCTATTACACCGGGGTAGGCACTAATCAGTGACAAATGCCAACACAAAGGTGACCTTCTGACAGATTTTGAGATTTATTACTGAAAAACAATAGCAGCAGTCTGAAAATGGGAGAGTTAAATATCTTTTTGTTGATGTATGCAGATGATACGGTTTTGTTTTCTGAGCCACCCTCTGATTTGCAAAATATGATAGACAACCTTACACAGTATGGAGTGGGGTTAACAGTGTATGTTAGTAAAACTAAAATTTTGATTTAAAAAAAAAAAAAACGGGGAAAATTCATGAAAATGAATCGTGGCATTATAAGGGAATGAAAATTGAGACAACTAATATTTTTCCTTATCTAGGGTTACTTTTAAGTTCTAATGGAAAGTTTCTTACCACACAGAAAGCTATAGCAGATCAGGGAAGAAAAGCAAGAGACTCATTCTTTAATGTAGAATCTGAACTTTTTCTCTTTGAGACCTATTTGTTACCAATCCTAAATTACGGAAGTGTGGTCTGAGGGTTCCATAATTTATCAGACATTGAAAAAGTACATTTGCAATATTGTAAAGCGACCTTGGGGGTCAGTACCAAAGTCGTGTCGGCTGCTGTCTATAACGAATTAGGGCGATTGCGATTGAAATACCATAGGATGGTCAAAATAGTGAGGTATTGAACTAGGTTATTAAGAACACAAAATTGTATTTTAAGGGGGGTCTATGATAACCTACTTCTTTCGTGTAATGAGTTCGATAACTGGGCAACTAAGGTAAAAAGCATGTTAACATGTCTCGGACTATAAGATGTCTGGGAGGATCCAAGTGTACCAGATGAATCTTATTTTCTAAAAGACTTTGAAACACGTTTAAGGGACAACTTAATTCAAGAAATTCGTGTAATAATACAAAAATCATCTAAATGTTTACTGTATAGACACTTGACAGATATTTTCGACCTACAAGGCTATCTAGGAAAAATCGCTCCTTTAAAAATAGACAAATTATATGTAAGTTTAGAATATCAGATCATAAACTCATGAGGGGAGATACCACAGTGTTCCGAAAGAAGATAGAAAATGTACACTATGTGACCGAAATTATATGGAGGATGAGTTTCATTTCGTCTTTATCTGCCCATATTATAGTGACTTGAGAAACAAATATATTAAAAAATATTACTGGCAGAAGCCCCCGGTTTTTAAATTAATACTGTTACTTGGAAGTCATAACCTAACAGAAAATAGAAATCTCAGGAAATTTTTATTAGAGGCCTGCAAGCGCAGGGAAAGATTTAAAAATTAGACTTGACGTATTGGTATTGTATTATCTTCATTCTCATTTATTTACTTTATTATGATTAACATTATTATGCTGTAAATTATTGTACCGTACCTATGACAAGAATGTCACGGTAAATAAACTACTACTACTACATTTAAACCAAAATGACGGCATGGGATTGTAGCCTATGCTCTCCTGGTCAACTCTTCGTGATAAGGTCTTCGAGATTGTTCCAAGTGCGCCAATCACGACTGGTATCACTGACACTTTCGATGCCCTGTAAATTCTCTCAATTTCAAATGCTAGGTCCTGATATCTGCTCACTTTTTCTGCCTCAGTCTTGATGATAATTGGTCTAATTATAAATTGTAACGTGTCATAGTCCCTCATGACAGAAGGTCCGCCTCTCATTCATTCGTACAGGTGAGCCTCTCCCTAGATTTTGACCCACTTAGGTCAGACTAACCCAAACCATTATAACTATATGGAGAGCGGACTTTCTGTTACACGGACCCTCAGTTTAGTTACACCGGCGTTGCGGTCTCAACCTAAGACTTCCCACTATGTGAATGACCTGGACTGTTCACCTGGTCTATTGTCAAACGGCTAAGAATAGTCTTCAATGCCCCGATATGTACGAAACGTAAACCATTCAACATTCACACACTTGGTCACAACGTTGCTGTTCATGTTAGTTTCACGCCGATTTAATTTATAGTTCTGGCATTTTACCGCGACAGAGATAATTTGTATTGTCTTTATAAAGTGTTTTTTAAAAGAGCCAAAGAACACGTGACGCCAGGACAGCTGTCCCTTTTCACTGTGTCAGATGATGTAATCACTAAATTATAATGACACACAAAAATGGGCATGATATGATACAAGCAGGAACCTGAACACTGTACAGTGTTCACGCATCTAGGATCCAAGGTAGATCTACATGTAGCTTTGCACAGTAGGAGAAGCGGCTAAACATCTGAAATCGACCGTACATTTTCACAATAAAGAAACTGTCTTTCATCACTAAGATGACCACCCCAAAGGCATTTGACAACACAGCATATGAAAATTCTTCTGAAGACGACAATTTTCCAGATAAACCTGCAGATATCATTCAAGAGCCGGAAATTCAGCGAGAGATCGAGGAAGCAAAAAGTTCAGGTATAATTAAATCAATTTTTTTGTTTGTGTTTGGTTTTTATTGGCGTAGCTGTATGATGTAAGACAATATTCATGGAAAGTGCAATACCGGTATACCCAAGGTTCTAGATTTCCGTATTGCCAGCTCGATCTTGATTTCATATGTAATCCATATCAGCAATACGAAACTCTAGCCACCAGAATCTGTGGGCGTTCTTCTTCAAAATTTTGCCTGGGGCGCTTCCATATTTGGAAGTCACAAGTCTCGAACGTCACAGCTGTATCCGCCTGAGAGCTCCACCTTTGGAAGTCATAAGTCTAGTACGTCATAGGTTTAGCCGCCTGCAGCTGACTTTCCCGCCTTGCGCTGACGTTATCTCGTGCAGACGAGACAAGAAGCAAAGTGGCTGATACGGAATTTGAAGTTTGAACTAGGAATATCTTGCAGTCGTAGGTCAGTACCACAACACAAGCAAAATCTGCTTTAAAAACTTATTTTGGTCTAGCCATTCCGCAGCCCCTTATAGTGATATCGAGCAAACAGTGTAGCTGACACACTTGGCACAGGGCAAGAACGTGTATCGTGTTTATATCTTCAGGAGCAAATGTTCTTTGATAAGCAAAAAATACAAAAACATTGGATGTATCTATTTTTTTTAGAAGAATATTATTTAATTTTCACTTTACATCTTAAATACAGTAAATGAAATTAAATAAAGCAGAATTAAATTTGTTTTACGTTTCATTTTGGTTTAATGACATTCGACTGCAGATTCACTGCGGAGCAGTTCTTTTTGATTGACGGAAATCGTACGCTGCCGCTGTTCGTCAGAGCTAGTAAAAGCGACTCCATCACAAGGTATATTTTTATATTTAACAAGCTAGCTTTTACTGTGCACTGACACTTAGGGTATACCAGTAGTGTAAAGCTGTCTGTAAGCTTTTCTTTTCGATTGAAATAAATCTATGACGTGAGAGTAAACATTATGCACTGTCAGTACAGTGATTTGGTACAAATTTTAGAGCCACAGCACATTTCACAATGACAAAGCACTAAAGCCTAAAATTTGGTCTAAACGATCAGAAACAAGTGGTCTTATTACTAGTTGATTTGTCTGCAGTCTTTGACATAATAAACCGCGAGATTTTGTTCAAAAGACTGAAAAATAGTTTTGGTATGGATGGCATTGCATTGGCATGGTTCAAATCATACCTGACTGAGTGTGAACAATCAGTCTCGATAGGCACATACAAATCACCGTCAACACCACTAGCTTTTGGCGTACCACTCTGTACTCGTATCGGCCCCATCCTGTTCACTCTTTACATGTCACCAGTTGAATACATTGTCTCTAAGTACGGTTTCAACCGCTCTAGTAGATGACTCGCAATTTTATATTGTTTGCGGCAGGCCATCAGATGTGATACCATGTATCCAGAAATGTATAACTCAGTTGAGTCAATTCACTTGTTTTCAATAATGGCAAAACAGAAGTAGTTCACTTTATCTCTCGTTTTTCTAGAGATGCGGAAAAATGAGAATTATTAGAAATCGGCAACAGTATGGTCACGGTAAAAGACAATGTTAAGAACCTAGGAGTAATTTTGCTACAGAGCTGCTTTCTATGGCCTTAAAAAATCTCCAAATTATCCCATATCCTAGACAAAGGTTAAATGGAGAGGCTTGTCCATGCCTTCAAAACTGCCCATCTTGACTACGGAAACAGTCTACTGAATGGTCTTCCTACCTACCAAATTGAAAAGTGTTTACGTGTTTATATTACTTTATGCAAGGCGTGTCTTTCAGTTAAGTTGATTGCACTCAACGAGAGTTCCCGCAGGATCGAATCGGTCTACAGATGGTGTATATAGGGCTTTAATCGACGCCATGGTCGATTATGACGTGAGATGTGCTCCGTAAATTGAGGATGCGACATTGGGGCCTCAATCTTACAGTCTCGCATCGTTAATTAAATAACTTTATTATAAATATATTAACATATTATTGATTAATTAAATTATATTGAATCTTAATCGTTCTGTCCACGCATTTAATTATCAAAATGATCTTTTTTTTTGGGGGGTGGTTGGTCAATAAAAACGAACCCCTCTAGAAAATCCTGGATCCGCCCCTGATCCGACTTGTTATTTTTGCCCATCTGTTCAATAAACACCTACAAGATTCGCCTTGGGGCGAATGTGTTAGTTGTGGGGCCCCAGAAAACTATTCAAAACAATATAAGGAGAGCTTAACGTAATTTTTCCAGAGCCAACATGCATCTTCAAGTTATTAGCACTAACAGGCTCCACATTGGCATTCATCCTAATAGGAGGCATCTTCTTCAATAGTGGCGTCCTATACGTGACATTTTTGGAACATTTCGGAGCTGACAGAGGAGTCACCGCTTGGGCTGGATCTGTTCAGTTAGCGATGGTGTTTGGAGCAGGTAAGTGTTTAGATGAGCCCAGACTTTGTGCGTACATCTATACGTGCATGCGTGAGGTCTGAAGTGGTGTATTCGAGACATAATGGTAGTCTGCTGGGTACCGTGGACCATATACTGATCCTGGTACTTCCGGCTAACACTAACCAGATTGTTCATCATATGGGACCCCGTGTGGCAGGAATGGTAGTCCGGGGTCCCATGTGATAAGTGGAGGTAAGGGTTAGTCAGAGTATTGGGGTTAGTATATGGGACGAATGTAATGTGTGAATGAGGAACGTTCCATGGTTCCCAACGAACTAACATCCCCGTCACAATGGGTTTTCCTACCTAACCACTCACATTCCTGCCACACCGAGATCGGCCATTCACTGCAGCATATCCCAATAACTGTAAATCATTATTTGTTTTCGGCAATCTTTGTTCGGCTTAGTTATTACATGTAACTCGATCAAAACTCTAAATTTTACCTTTAAAATATAACGATCCAAGTGTTGGGGGAATCTTCCAAACAAATAGGCCCTATAGAACCTTCGAACCAATGAACCCTTGATTAAAAAACCGATGAAAATGTTACAGTGCCATTTTTCGGACCAATAAGCCTTCTGAGACGCCCGCCTCCAGGGGAATATCTCACCAAAGTTAATAACCCTCCAACCCCGCTGGCGGGTTTCATAAGATAAGACTAATGGTTTCTCAACAACCGGCCTTCCCTGTGATCCCTTGCGGCAACTTCCGGTCTCCTGGAGGCATTTAGGGTGGAAAGCCCGTCGAATTTATATGACTTACTTGTGTTAATGCACAATAACTTATAATATTACGTCGATGTCAGTTTGCTTGAAAAATGAACCCTCATTGTCTCTATACAGTACATTTTTTTACAACAAGAGCGTCCTTTGACGTATGCCAGAGAAACTTATCTTTGTTACTTGCCCCAGCCTGCCCTGCGTGTCGTACGTCTGAGTGTTTTTTCCCGCGCGAGACGTATATTTCCCAATTCAGACTCTAAATACAATAAAACTTGAGGTGAAGTTTACCTGAAGCGTACCTTGTGTCGTTATTACCTTCTCATACCCCTTGCTGCAGACATTTTCCAGCTTGCAGCGTCTGTATTATACACGGTACAGAGCCGTGATAAAATGCACCCCGCCATTTTCTTTTGTAAACAAATACAGGAAAAATATCTCTCTGACAATTGCAAATATACAAATGAATTATTCAGTCCCAATGTTATTAAAAACCTTCTAAAATCCTGTTTATTAAAGGAATAACAACTGTTCATTTTGGCCAAAAATGGATTTTCCTTGGTTAAAGGACAATTTTTCCCATACTTAGGCTACCAATGGTTAATGAATCCATTCCCACATTCAAAGTTAGACCCTGTTTTTTTCTAAAAAGTTTGGTTTTCTGTAATACTGAACCAATTGCAATACTGGCGATTTTGTGAATTTCGGAATTAATAAAAGTACACCCAGTTAGAAAAAACTGTTTTGTTAAATTTAATTTTTTTTCTAAAACATTTCTAATTACAGGACCTGCTGCCGCAGCATTGGCCAATCGCTTCAATTGCTATGTGGCGGTCATTTCAGGGGGACTGCTTGCTACACTCGGGCTCATCATCAGCTCATTTGCTACCGATATATATTTCCTTATTAGTAGCTACGGGTTCATGACAGGTTCGTTTAAACAAACTATATTAAAGCAACTCAGCTACATTTATTACTTCCCTGCCCTGTGTTAACTTACTTCTGATGAAAAAAAAGGAATATGTATAAAGAGGCAGGCGGTTTACATTATTCATCACGAGATGTTAAAAAGCAAATTGAAAATGCAAATTCTATTGTTCTTGCGCATGAGTAAGGCCTAAATGTTCACTCAAAGATATACTTATCCTGGGTTTAATACTACTAATAAGTCACAGTTGGATCTTGCAGGTATTGGTCTGGGACTGGTTTATGCCCCAGCTGTTATGCTGATGGGCAAAGTATTCACTACAAGAAGGGGACTAGCAGTAGGAATTGTGGTCTCGGGTATGAGTAGCGGCTGGTTGTCCTATCCCTTCATCATGAGAAGTCTGTTAGATAATTGCGGTTGGCAAATATGCTTACGTGTTCTGGCAGCCATGACTTTTGTTATCTGCATCTGTGGTGTGTGCATGATACCGGCCGAAAGAAAAACATCCAACACTACCAAACGCGGTCTGGACATTAAAATTATTCGAAATCCCAACCTCCTCCTCTTATGTCTTGCCATGATGGCATACTTATTTGGACTGTCGGTTGTGTCTGTTCATGTCCCAGCTTTTGGAGAAACGTTGGGGTTTTCTGTTCAACAGGGGTCGATGTTAGCCACAATTATGGGAGCAACGTCCCTTTTGGGACGCATCTTTTTCGGCGCCATTGCAGACGTGAAGAAGTGTGACATTTTGGTGGCGAATGCAATAGCAGTTACGTGTACAGGGATTCCTGTAATGCTGTATATAACGTCTAATTCTTATGCGATGTTGGCATCTTTTGTTGGGACCTATGGGTTTTTCAGTGCATCTTTTCCGACGTACGTGCCTCTCTTGGTATTAGAGTTTGTTGGCATTGACAAGATGGTGTCTGGAAAAGGAATTGCCATGTTTTTTGGGATGTTTGGAGTTCTCTTGGGGGGACCAACAGCAGGTAATGTGGGCTTTTGTATGAATATATAATGCATGAATAATTAACCCAAATTTTATTTGGTCTCAGATGAAATCAGATTATTAAAGACTGGCAGAGCTACGTAATCTAACATTTTAGTTAAAATTCACAAAGTTGTAAACTTTTCTGATCAATTCATTGATACCATCATGATCAAATTCGCTTTCATATTTAAGATTCTCCAACCATTCTCTGATGAACGTTTGATAAATCTATTATAAGTACAGGCAGATGAAGAAACCCGTGTGTTTCCTTGGACCATACAATCACATTTAATTCTTAACTTTATTTCTTCCAGGGTGGCTTTTTGAAACAACGCAAAGCTATGGTCCGTCTTTCTTCTTTGGTGGGTCCATTTCCCTTCTGGGGGCTGTCTTTTCAGTAGTTCTTTGGATTCTTCGAGCTTGTCGCACAGATACTAATACAGATGCAGAAAAACAAGAAGAGAGCCACAGAGATGAAATAAACTAAATAACATTGAAGCAAAACACAGTGACAAAGATGGGCGTGAAAAAATGTTTCAAAGGCTGAGCTTGCTTTACATTTGGCATAGCAAACTTGAAACACCTAAAATGAATGAACATTTGTATGTGTTTAGATGAGCAAAAGACATCAAGAATATATTAAAAAATGGGTAGACAAGGAATGTGTTGACATTGAATAAAACAAAACGGAAGTATCACAATTTCTGGGAAGACTGTTTAATAATCCAGTGCCGCATGTCAGTCTACTAAGGAATGAGAATATATGGAGACGCAAAGTTCAAAATTATCAGTGCTAAATAAAAGCATCTATTTACGCGTTTAAAATTATAATAATGAAAGAATTAATATTATTTCAATAGTTATAGTAAATTTATAGTTATAGTTAGAAAACTTTTCTCTGTTATTGCATTGCCTTAATGAGAATAAATTTTTCTGTATTTCTATTGCCTTTATTATGAACGATTAGTTAGACCTCCAGTAAGATACTTGTCACTGCACAATTATTAAGGCGGACTTAATGACATATTTCGAAATAAAGAAACCTCATTGACGACAAGATTGATGGTGAAACACGGTAGACTTTCGCGGAAATTGTTTATGGGAAAACCTCATTAGTTTCAGAACTAGAGACAATGTCTTGAGCTCTGCAGTACAGAAATGGATATCAAGTAACCATTGCCCATGTACGCTATTTCGCCTGATTTCTTCTAATAATGAAGGTAGTTTACCAGCAAGAATGAATGAAAAATAGAAAGAATTTCCACTGATCCTGTTTTGCCGCTTAAATGCTCCAGAAAAGGGTTCTACAGGGTTATTTTTTGCAAGAAAGGGCATGAGTTGGGGATGGACTCAAACAGCAGGCGTTCTACGGAAAGAAGTTTCTTTGGTGATGAGCATTTACCGGAAAACTATTTTGCTGGAAAATGCTGAATTTCGTTTTTTACCCATACAAATTTAATAATAAAGTAAATTACCACCATTGTCACAAATGCATTTAGACTGGTGGCCTTAGCATCTAAGGCCTACCCTACAGCTGTCGTTGTACAAAAATTAAATCAAATAAAAGTTGTTAACACAGGGTTACGACTCAGGATTATCGTCTGTCCGATTTAAATTGAATTCATACATTAACATTGTATTACGCGTAAATTGCACTAGCACATATAAGTACTCGGCCTTCCACATGCATCATAAGTTGTCTTACAAAGAGATGAGCTATATATTTTGTGTCGTCTGCCGCCCTCCCTAAATTTGCAAAGATCCTATGCACAGGAAATCAGACATTATAGAAAGCTCAATTTGCGCAATGTACAACACAAAACACAGATAAGGACAAATATCATATACCGCGAATAAAAATGTAGGGAAATACTTTTTAAAAAAGCACTTAATGTTCGACCCTTCTGACAAAATGACTTCGACAACTTTAATTTTGTGCTCCTAGGTACTTCATAATCAGGATAATGACCAGACAAAAATTGCACAAATATAAAAGAGGGAATATTTACCACAAAGGAACGTCCAATAATGCAATTCTGGCTTCTAATAATCATCTTGGTCAGTAATTTTTCTTTCACGTTCCCATTTTCGTCGTATAAAATGTCAACATGTCTGAAAAAAAAACACGCAGAACCCTATCAGAGTTCAAAAATTCTATTATTAGCAAAGAACTTGGACTTAGATTGGATAATTTACAAAACTGTATTTTTAAAAATATATTACCTGTTTTAACCATGATTATGCGTCATACCATCAAAGGCCCTGAAATAATTAGATGTGGACATAACAGAGACTGGCTTCTGTTTTTCGTCCATTTTCAGTTTCATTTTTGCCGATTTTCTCTTTAGCTACACAATCATACGTTTTCTCTAGTAATTATATCATCAGTCTTGCATTATTATATATGTACATGTACCCCAGTATAATATGCCCATCATACACCACGCACACAAGAACAAAACGTACTTCGGGATTCTGCATGAAAGCCACACAATCATCGAAAAAATATTGATTTTCAATGTGCACCAATCATTTTCTATTACACATATACAAACAAAGCGTTGAAGGTGTGATGAAACTGACAGTCCGCGTTACACTGTAACAGAGTCCATTTATTTAATACAAGTTAGGGATAGTGTGACGAAAATGGGTAAAAAGCTTGGATTTACCCGTACAAATCAATCAGAGGATCAGACCCAGTATCACAGGGGTATTCTCGTGCATGAAGCCAGTGCCCTTCTTGTGCTACGATTCGCCTTGCTTTCTTGTTTCAGAATTGTGGACGTGTTGATGGTAATGTCCACCAGAAGACGTACAACCGCCCCCAATGTCACCACATTCGTGAACGTGGACACCGTGGACATGGCCGTGACAGGCGTGAAACCTTTCCAGGTCAAACCGAGCATGCACGCCATCCTCTGTAGACTGTAAATGGGATTTAAAAATAAAAAGAAAAGTTGTCGTAGAGTATTGAAGGCACATTGTTTTTACGTTTGCTCTTACCTTCTGCCTAAGACTTACATCCCCAACACACACATTATTTCCGCTAAAATGTAGACATCTTAATTTTTTGTTGTTTTTTTTCTTTTTTTTTAGAAAAGCGAAAGATGTAAAAGATTTTAAAAGGTTGGACAAAGTCATAATGAGAGGAAGTAAAAAACAACTTGCTCCACTTTACGATGTCGGGCGTGTGGCATTCTCTCCGACTGAGAAGGGCGCAAAGATCTATTTATTTAGTGGTGTCGCGCTTCTTCCTGGGGACGACTCTCGAACGTGGTGCTGTTGTGACGATTGCTAGCGAGTAGTCACACCTAAAGCAGCCCCTTCAGCATTGCCCGCCAAAGTGCGGACATATATTGTTGTGATCGGCTAGTACATTTTAAACTCCTCTACTCAAATTCCTCTATGCCTTTGAGCACAAGTCTCGCACCGAGTTCGGGTTGCGCGCAATACAGAACTGACAAAATGGTTGGTGGGCGGCAAAGTTCGCCAGGAGGTGATAAATTTGACTTTTTTGTTGTTGTTTTGTTTGTGTTGCTACATCGTTTATGAGATTTACCTAATTCGGTAAGATCAAAGAGTATTGCTTGTTTTCAGATTTAGTTTGTAAACGCGTGTTATTTTAACGATTAAGCGACAAGAGTTAAACTTTGTCTTTGAAGGCATACGAAGGTGGCACATAAAACACTAAATGTGTTCTGATATGCAATAGAGTGTAATTGGACAAAATTTAAGATTTAAGAAAATATAATTTAAGAGGAAACAACCAGAAAAATACGTGGATATTGTTGTGCATATATATTCATTTCACCACAAACATAATTTTCTTTCTTTTTTTTTACTTTATCTACTACAGGTAGGCCTACATGTATAACAACGCTACTGTTTATCTGCATAAACAAAATCTATTTGAGCAGCTGATACATAATATGAAGAGCTGTAGGGTCTGCGTCCTGCCTAAACCTGACTGGTAGCTCAGGCCTACCCAACTACCAGACTCGGCACCTACGGATCCAGAATAAACCGGTATATCAGACCACACTACCCGTTTTCAAGGTGTGTGTCAGATCGCATTACAGAGTATCATACCCCATCACAAATTTTGTAAGCCTACCTGTCATCCGGGTATCGCGCCTCGTTTTCGTCAAGTAGGAGTCGTATGAATACAACAACATGGAAATCGGCAATCCTCGGCTCATTCCGCAAGCTCCATACTATTGTCGAGTGCGGAGACATCGGAGTAGTTCCGAGTGACAACATGGCGACAGACGACTCACTGAATCTTGTCCAGAAAATATTAAACCCCCGACAGAATATGCTTCCGCTATCAAAATTAGGTCTAGTTTTCTAAATGAATATATAAGTTTGCAAGTTCTTATTTACAAAACATCATTGGCTATGTTCGAACCTAAATTTTTTGTTAAAAATTGCGGTATTGTCAGATTTTTAGCATAAACAGGGACAATTGCAGCAGCACATGAATCTAGATGAGATGCACTACTTTCCAACCCCGCTTTAGACCACGGTGGAAGTGAAGAACAAAAGATTCCGACGTGGTGTAACTCGCATAACCGCACGTCTCGCATGAATGCGTTATAACCCGCTAATGGACCCGTGGTCTAAATAAGATAGATCCCTCGTCAGCGAGGGTTATGTGACATCCACTCGTGCTTCGCACTCGTGTATGCCACATAACCCTCGCTGACTCGGGGTCTATCTATTACTAGGATCATCGCTATCACATCGCGCACCAGGCAAAATCGGTGTGGTGGCTGATACTCTGTAATGCGATCTGACACACACCTTGCAAACGGGTAGTGTGGTCTGATATACCGGTTTATTCTGGATCCGTAGGTGCCGAGTCTGGTAGTTGGGTAGGCCTGAGCTTATAATGTTTCGGTGTACGGCTTTATCCCCGTCGAAGAATCATAAGAAAGAACAAATATTGATTGCGTTCACACCTCTGGTTATGAATACCATGAAAGTAATTTAAGCCCTGGGTTTAATACTTGTGTGTTGCTTCTCTCCCTTTTGATTATGCACCTGTCCACAAACAAAAGGCTGAGTTCGAAGAATCAAATTAACACATTAGTGCTAGGGTGTTTAAGCGTTTTTCGCCAATAATGTTTTCCTTCTTATAGAAATCGACTGTTGAAGCGTGATAACCCGCAAGTCGCACATGCATTCAGAAATATTCACCAGGACAGGCTATCAACGAGCATAATTCGAAATTGGTTTTATTATTACATACAAATTGTGAATGTCACAGTGAGTTTGTGATTTAACTGCCATTGCTTGATACTGTAGCACCACTATTAAGAAGCCGTTGAGTTTCAAAAATACTTATTCAAACTAGTCATTACGGAGAATGAATTTAACCTTTTTTTATCATAAAAACGTCTTACATAAGCAAGTTGAGGTCAGGGGAATATGCATTTTACTTTCATTTCATTTAGGTCATATAACTACCCACTTTCCCATGTTTTTTGAGTTCATACCACCGCACATGCTCACTGACCAAAATAGAAATGACCAGATGCGTCGCATACCCGCGCGCCACGCATGAATCCGTGATACACCTTGAATGGGTATTTTTTACATGACATCCACCATACTGCTGAGCATAAGTCAGATCAATGACACTGAACGTTTACTATTCCATATCGTAAGTCGGACACACTACTCGTCGGCAAGGTGTCCAAATTGTTACATCCGCTTGTGTTTTGCATACACCTCTCTAACACGTGGTGCATATACACGTATTTAGAAAAGCGAGGAATTTCGACAACACAAAATGTATAAAGTCACCAGCAGACGATGGTACTTTGTCTTGACCTCGATCCTGATTTAATGACGCCATTTATTACTCCAAAACCCTGTCAGCGATTTATCTTAAAAGTCTTAGTTCAGAAATTATCGTTGATATAAAAGCAAAATAATGCCTTTGTTTCATGACATTCTGTAATTAGGGGTGTATAACTCCATAACAAAAACATTTAAAGCAAAATGACGGCACTTGATTGTAGCCTTGTTGTTGTTGTTGTTGTTATTATTATTATTATTATTATTATTATTATTATTATTATTATTATTATTGTCGTGTCTTGTTTACTTATAATGCCTAGTCCTGGGGAGGAGGGACTCACAAAACACTAAACAGCAACGACAAATATGAATAACTATGATGCTGGAACGAACATTTAGCAACTGACCGGCGTTGCGACCTCAACCTAAGACCTTTCACTAGGTAAATGACCTGGGTGGACTGGTCACCTGATTTATTTTTAAACGGCTAAGAATAGTCTTCAATGGCCCATCCCATATGCACAAGATTTAACCATTCAACATTCACTCACTTGGTCACAAGGTTGCTGTTCATGTTAATTTTACGACGATTTAATTTAAAGTTCTGACATTTTACCGCGGCAGAGATAATTTGTATTGTCTTTATAAAGTGCTTTTAAAAAGAGCCAAAGAACACGTGACGCCAGGACAGCTGTCCCTTTTCACTGTGCCAGATGATGTAATCACTAAATTATAATGACACACACTGTCAACTAATGGGCATGATATGATAGAAACAGGAACTTATGCACTGTCCAGTGTTCACACAACTAGGATCTACGGTAGAGCTAACTTTGCACAGTAGGAGAAGCAGCTAAACATCTAAAGTGGGACGTGCATTTTTACTATATAGAGACTGACTTATAACACTAAGATGACCACCCCAAACGCATTTGTCAACCCAGCATATGAAAAATCTTCTGAAGACGACAATTTTCCAGATAAACCTGCAGATATAATTCAAAAGCCGGAAATTCAGCTAGATATCGAGGAAGCAAAAAGTTCAGGTATGATTATTTTTTTTTGTTTGTGTTTGTTTTTTATTGATGTAGTTGTATGATGTAAGAGAATATTCATGAAAAATACTATACCAGTAGTGTAACACTGCCTGTAGGCTTTCCTCGATTGAAATGCATCTATGACGTTAGAGTAAACATTATGCACTGTCAGTACAGTGATTTGGTACAAATTTAAGAGCGACAGCACATTTCACAATGACAAAGCACTTAAGGCCAAAATTTGGTCTAAATTATTTTAGACAGCTGTCGAACACGGTTAAAAAGTTGTAATGGAAAAACGCTGTGAATATAATATAATATAATATAATATAATATAATATAATATAATATAATATAATATAAATAGTAGCCTAGATGTTTTCAATCCATGGTAATTACAACCACATAACGTTTCCATTTTCATCGGAATTACTGTGTTAATTATACAAACAGCGCTTCTAACCGAATAGTCTTGAAAAATATAATAAGGGTTCGTTATTACTATTTGAGATTCATGCAGGTACTGGTCGTCGGCATTATGCTGGAATGATATCTAATACATAAGAGTGACCGATTGTTATCTTACGCTCTACCATATATCATTTACTGTAATGGAGCTTACATACAGTGGCGGCCGTGACACAAAAGCCAATTATCTAATAATCCTGCCTCCACCCAAGAAGTTGTAACTTCTTGCTCCACCAAAGTGAATAGACCTTTTGCAGCTAGATGAATAAAAGATGACTTCTTTTGTTTCATGAAGAGCTTGTTCTGCAGCGTTCTTTTGGTAACGTCCTTTCCGCTTTTTTGGAAGTTTACGCACCGCTTATTACAACTTTTTAAAAATGATAAAAATACCGAAAATTAGAGAAGAAATATTAATTTTAAGTGTTTAAATAATAAAGAAAGAAAGAAAGAAATGTAAGAGCAATGGTTGTAAGTTTTAATGATTGAAATCAGTTCTTTTAAACGACCAAAAGTGTTTGACTACCCTCTACCAGGGCCACAGATTGATTTTTCACTAGATATTCTCAGATATGTCTCTGGTTAAATTCACGGTTACTCTCTGAACTGTGACCGTGTAATGAAATCTCAAGGATGATTACATGGCTGGTAACTGTTTGCATAACTACTCAGGCACTGCCACTTAACAAGTTCCTGTCAAGTCCCCATGAGCAATCAAGACAGGTTAATTGCTCTTCTGTGACAGCAAAAAAGCCTGTTATGAATAACTTGTTACCTCAGGGCGTTCCTTCAGACAACGTGACTTAATTATTTCAGCAGGCGGACAAGACAAAACAAGACAGGCTGCATAAAGAGCATTTAAACCACGGCTAGCGCGTAGAACAAAAGACTCGGCCGTGCTGTATTCGACATACAAGCACGTCATGTACGAGTGCGTTCCACGGTCTGTTGCACTACTACTACTAGTGTAGTAGCCAATCAGAGGCCGTGGTTTAAGCCAGATACAACACTTGTCGCCGAGCTGTACGTGAAAATTACACTCACTTACAACATTAGCGCGAAGGCCAGCTCCCACTGAGCTCCTGTAGAGTGGGCACAATGCCATCTGAAGGCGTGCAGATTTAACTGCTTCCAACTGGTCCAAAGTCAGATGATCGCCTCAGAGAAACTTTCCTCATAAGGTTCCTTCCGTGGTATTTGGTCCGCAGATTCCTACTTACAAAATTTTTAATGTCCTTCCTAAACAGCAAAAAATACCACGGAATGCACCATAATAATAACTGCGGCCCTGGTAAAGGGTAGCCTTTGACTGTGCTATCCAATGTATGCAAGCGGCTTACATGGGAAGAGGAAGAACAATTCACCGATTCTTTGAATGACTGTAACTTTCATCTTTTTAACATGAAATTGATAGCGAAGTTAGTGTTTGATGAATTTCACATAGATAAATTTAATAGATAAATAAGGACCTGTAGGTGCGTTTATTAAAAAATAACTATCTAAATCTACGGGACACAGCGCGATTGGCGTAAAATGCACCAACTGACTGCCTTTGTACGGGACATTAATAACGTAATATGTTTTCTTGAAGTACGCCAAATATTTAATTTAATGAACAGTTGTCTATTGAGCATGATTAGAAAAAGTGTCTGAAATTGGCCCTGTGACGTTAAATGCCATCGACCTTCTTTAAATCTACCCCTTCGACTCTCTTGTAATACCCACATCCATAGACACCATAAGTATGTGTAGATCGATCCAAGAAGTTGTAACTTCTTGATCGACCCAACTCTGCAGAGACTCGCGCTTAATCTAACCAGCTTAATGGAAAGGTCTGATCGGAAAACATGTTTAGTAATGAACATGCTATACCAAATGTGCCGAAGTAATAACTTTTGGTCCGCTAATTTTCTATTCCTTGCCATTATGCCATAATTTGAATACTTGGACTGGAACTTTTTACCTATCGATGGGGTGAGTTGGCACCATGCTTTGTGACCATAGGAAAGCTATGAGAGCGCTTGTGAGTACTGCTCAACAAACAACCCAGCACCTTTAAAAAAGTCAAGGTCACCGGCAATAGAGGCTGAGATAGATTGTTTTGCAATGACAAAGAAATATATGCTTGTTAATGAAGTCTAAGGAAAAATTTGCACATTTAGCGTGGTTATCAGACTTTTAAAAATAACTATTATTTCAGTCTCTATAAAACAACTGAGACAAATTACACTCACAATTATGGGAATGGTTTGAAACGAATAGACTACTCCTCTTGTTTCCAACGTCCTCGTATAACCGTACAATCACAGCTTTTCTGTATATTATACAAGGAGGAGTGTCTTTCATTTAAGTTGATTGCACTAAACGAGAGTTCCCGCAGGATCGGATCGGTCTACATAGACTGACGGTGTATATAGGAATGGGGGCTAATAGTGCTTTAATCGACGCCATGGGCGATTATGACGTGAGATGTGGTCCGTCAACCGAGGATGCGACATTGGGGCCTAAATCTTACCTTCTTGCATCGTTAATTAAATAACTTTATTATAATTATATTGACATATGATTGATTAATTAAATTAATATTGAATCTTAATCGTTCTGTCCACGCATTTAATTATCAAAATGATCTTTTTTTTGTGGTTGGTCAATAAAAATGAACCCCTCTAGAAAATCCTGGATCCGCCCCTGATCCGACTTGTAATTTTTGTCCTTCTGTTCGACAAAAACCTACAAGATGTTCGCCTTGGGGTGAGTGTGTTAGTTGTGGAACACCAGAAAACCATTCTAAACTATATAAGGAGAGCTTTACGTAATTATTTCCAGAGCCAAAAAGTATCCTCAAGATATTAGCACTAACAGGCTCCACATTGGCATTCATCCTAACTGGAGGCATCTTCTACAATAGTGGTGTCCTCTATGTGACATTTTTGGAACATTTCGGAGCTGACAGAGGAGTTACCGCTTGGGCTGGATCTGTTCAGTTGGCAATGGTGTTCGGAGCAGGTAAGTGTTTACATGAGCCCAGGCTTTGTGCGTGCATCTATACACGCAGGTCTGAAGTGGTGTCTTCGTGACATAATGGTAGTCTGCTAGGCACCGTCGTCCATTCCCATTAGATTTATCCCATATACTGATCCTGGAACTTCCGGCTAACACTAACCAGACTTTGTTCATTATATGAGACCCCGTGTGGCAGAAATGGTAGTCCTAGGAATGGAAGTTCGGGGTCCCATGTGATAAGTGCAGGTAAGTGAAGGGTTAGTCGGAATATTGGGGTTACTTTATATGGGACGAATGTAATTTGTGCATGAGGAACGTAGGCTACTATGGTTCCCAACGAATTAATATTCCCATCACAACGGATTTCTATTCCTACCTAACCACATTCCTGCCACACCGAGATCGGCCATTCACTGCAGCATATCCCGATAACTATACATCATTATTTGTTTTCAGCAACCTTTGTTCGACTTAGTTACACATTACATGTAACTCAATAAAAGAGAATGCGTTTCGTTTATTGAATAAATAAAATTAAGATTTTTTTTTTACAAAATCAAAACACTACTTTTTACCTTACAAAGAAAAAGACCCAAGTGTTGGGGGGGGGGAGGGAATCTTCCAAACAAATGGGCCTATAGAACCTTCGAACCAATGAACCCTTGATTAAATAACCGATGAAAATGTTACCATTTTTCGGACCAATGAACCTTCGGACTTTCGAGACGCCCGCCTCCAGGGGAATTTTTCTCCAAAATTAATAACCATCCAGGCCCGCTAGAGGGTTTATGAGATAAGACTAATGGTTTCTCAACATCCGGTCTACAAGTGATCCCTTTCGGCGACTTCCGGTCTCCCGGAGGCAGTTCTGCCGAGTTCGGGTGGAAAGACCGTCGATCTAATATGCCTTATTTGTGTTAAAGTTAACACTTACTTACATATCGATGTTAGTATGATGTTTGCTTGGAAAATGAACCCTCAGTGTATCTACACAGTATCATTTTTACAACAAGAACGTCCTTTATCTCTGTGGCAATTGCAAATATACAAATGAATTATTCAGTCCCAATGTTATGAAAAACCTTCTAAAATCCTGTTTATTAAGATATAAGTATTTGGCTGATTAAATCTTTTCACTGGACATTCAAAGTATCAAAAATAACACTAACAAAAATGTAAAATAAAATCTGAAGTAAGGTAAAACTTATATCTTTCTGGTCTTGTTGCAGTGGTGGCATATGGTTGGTGGGAGGGTTCTTTTAAGATTTGAAATAAGTTCGTCATATAGTTCTCCGCCATTTTATGAAGATATCTGACAGAATGCTCAGATTGTACATTTGTGAGAACTATGACTAAAATAATCGGTTGAATGAACATTCAACCAATTGCAACACTGGCGAAATTGTGAATTTCGAAATTAATAAAAGTAAACCCAGTTGGATAAAAACTGTTTTGTTAAATTTATAATCTTTCTAACATTTCTGATTACAGGACCTGGTGCCGCAGCATTGGCCAATCGCTTCAGTTGCTATGTGGCGGTCATTTCAGGTGGACTGCTTGCTACTCTCGGGCTCATCATCAGCTCATTTGCTACCGATATATATTTCCTCATTAGCAGCTACGGGTTCATGACAGGTTCGTTAAAACAAACTATATTAAAGCGACTCAGCTACTTGTATTGCTTCCCTGCCCTATGTTTACTTCTGATAAAAAAGGAAAATGTATAAGGAGGCTGGCGGTTTACATTGTTTATCACGAAATGTTAAAAAGCTACATAGGATGTTTTGACATAAACGTCTGTTCAGTTCAATGTGAATTAAAATGCAAATTCTATTGTTCTTGCGCATGAGTTAAATGTTCACTCGAAGATATAGTTATCCTGGGTTTAATAATACTAATAAAGCATCGTTGGATCTTGCAGGTATTGGTCTGGGACTGGTTTATGCCCCAGCTGTTATGCTGATGGGCAAAGTATTCACTACAAGAAAGGGACTAGCAATAGGAATTGTGGTCTCGGGTATGAGTAGCGGCTGGTTGTCCTATCCCTTCATCATGAGAATTCTCTTAGATAATTACGGTTGGCAAATATGCTTACGTGTTCTGGCAGCCATGACTTTTGTTATCTGCATCTGTGGTGTGTGCATGATACCGGCCGAAAGAAAAACACCCCCCAATACGAAACGCGGTCTGAACGTAAAAATTATTCGAAATCCCAGCTTCCTCCTCTTATGTGTTGCCATGATGGCATACTTATTTGGACTCTCAGTTGTGTCTGTCCATGTCCCAGCTTTGGGAGAAACGTTAGGGTTTTCAGTTCAACAGGGATCGATGTTAGCCACAATTATGGGAGCAACGTCTCTTTTGGGACGCATCTTTTTCGGCGCCATTGCAGACGTGAAGAAGTGTAACATTTTGGTGGCGAATGCAATAGCAGCTACGTGTACAGGGATTCCTATAATGCTGTATATAACGTCTAATTCTTATGCAATGTTGGCATCTTTTGTTGGGACCTATGGGTTTTTCAGTGCATCTTTTCCGACGTACGTGCCTCTCTTGGTATTAGAGTTTGTTGGCATTGACAAGATGGTGTCTGGAAAAGGAATTGCCATGTTTTTTGGAATGTTTGGAGTTCTCTTGGGGGGACCAACAGCAGGTACTGTATGATTTTGTTTGAATATATATTATACATGAAAAATTAACCTAATTTTTATTTGGTCCCAGATGAAATCAGATCATTAAAGACTGGCATATCTATGTAACCTAGCATTTTAATTAAAATAGACAAAGTTGTATGTGAATGACTAAACATTTTTGGTAAACTTTTCTGATCAATTCATTGTTGAGAGCATCATGATCAAATTCGCTTTCATATTTAAGATTCTCTAACCATGCTTTGTATGACCTCTCTCTGATAAACGTTTGAAAAAACTATTATAAGTACAGGCAGCAGAAGAAATCCGTGTGTTTCCTTGGACCATACAATTACATTCAATTCTTAACTTTATTTCTTCCAGGGTGGCTTTTTGACGCAACGCAAAGCTATGGTCCGTCTTTCTACTTTGGTGGGTCCATGACCCTTCTGGGGGCTGTCTTTTCAGTAGTTCTTTGGATTGTTCGAGCTTGTTGCACAAATACTAATACGGACGCAGAAAAACAAGAAGAGGGTCACAGAGATGAAATAAACTGAATAAAAATTTGATGCAAAACACAATAAAGACAAAAGTGGACGTGAAAAATGTTTTCAAAGGCTGAGCTTAGTTTACATTTCGCATAGCAAAATTCACACATCTAAAAAGAATGAACATTTGCATGTGTTTAGATGAGCTAAAAACAACAAGAATACAGAAACAATGGGTAGACAAGAAATGTGCTGACATTGAACAAAACAAAATGGAAGTATCACAATTTCTGGGAAGATTGTTTAATTATTCAGTGCTGCATGTCCGTCTACTAAAGAATGAGAATATATGGAGACATGAAGTTCAAAATGATTCCGTGCTAGATAAGAACTTATATATTTACGCGTTTAAAATTATAATAATGAAAAAATGATAATATTATTTCTTGAACAAGTTTTTAATAGTAATAGTTAGAATAAGTTTTCTTTGTCATTGCATTGCCTTAATGAGAATAAATGTTTTTTTTAACTCGTATACTATTCTATTGCCTTTATTGTGAACGAAGTTGGACCTTCAGTAAGATACTTTTCACAGCACAATAAGGATAGACAGCCTTTATCACATATTTCGAAATAAAGAAACCTCATTGATGACAAGATTGATGGTGAAACACGTTAGACTTCCGCGGAAATTGTTTATAGGAAAACCTCATTAGTTTCAGGACTAGAGGCAGTGTCTTGAGCTCTGCAGTACAGTTATGGGGATCAAGTAACCATTGCCCATTCACGCTTTTTAGCCTTGACTTTTAAATAGTTATTTCGACAAGGTTGTTGACCAGCATAGCGAGGAAAAATGGAAAGGATTTTTACTGAGCCTCTTTTGCCGGTAAATGCTCCAGTCCTTAATTTCGTTTTTTTTACGCATTCAAATTTTATAATACAGTATATTACCACCATTGTCACTAATGCATTTAGACTGGTGGTCTTAGCATCTATGGCCTACCTACAATTGTAGTTGTACAATAGAACAATTGACTAAATCGCGTTTTGGTAATAAATCTGTGTAAATCCACAGGAAAGAATTAGCTGTTGATTGAAGAAAAATCACAACCTTACTATTGTACATATCCTACATTCGAAGTACACCTACTGAATGTAGCTTTGTTCTGCTCTATAATTTATATTTCTCTACTCGAGCACAGACTTTCGATAGCACAGTAATAGTACAAGACTAATGATCCATTCTGTTTTATAAGCCTTGACCAAGACAATCTCCTGCTTCCATTTGCTTCGCCAAACTGGACGATATGGCTATGGTGGAAAAACAACAAGTTTTTTTTTCGAGTATTCTGATCAACTTCTTTATATGTACGGTACAAATTTCTACACCCCCTGTATAGAATTCTAAAACCTTTTATCCTTAAGGTAAAGTTTACGGAAAGATAATTTTGCTACCCCCCCCCCCCCTGCCCTCCGAACACGCCAGACAACTCGACCAACGGGGTAGAACGAAAACATACTGTATTCCATCAAGGTTGAAACACAGAAACGGAGCTCTCCCTATTCAGGTAAAAGAAAAAGGCGATGAAAAGCACAGTTTACACTGAATAGAAGCCATAATTTTAACACCTTTTAACCTAAAGTTTAAGTTTACAGAAAGATAATTTTGCATGCTTTACCTCTGTCAATGTTCTAAAAAAAGCTTCAAGCCGTAGTTGTCAATGTCATTTAAATATTTAGCCAGACATGACTGGTTGCAATACTTTAAAAGTCATAACTAATCTTCCGTCACGTAAACAATGTGGATGAATCTAAAGCAAGACGGAAAATAGTTTATCAGTCAAATACGTCCACGTGTGGAAGGCATCGCTAGATAAATCAAAAAACGCTCAGGTGTTACCATCGTCATTCAGATATCTAAAGAGCAAAATAACCCAGCAATCTAAAGAATTTTTGATACTCTGATTGGTCTTCTGATTTGGATTTACTTCTTAAACTAATGGGGTTTTGTACAGATTAAAAGTACGCTGATGTTTCTCCTTGGAAACAGTGCGAGCGATCTAAGATGGTAAATGCTTTCAATGACCAACGGTTATTTTATGAACATCGATGAAGCGCATCTTTAACAGGAAACGATTTTCGATATATATCATTCCTGATGCCAGTCGTTCGATGATAGTTCACGTAGAATGCTTTTGAAAAGGGCAGATATCTTTATCATCGGTTCTTGGTGATTTTCAAAGACCCGTAGGTAGTATGTATTGGCGTATTAATCAATTGTCACAGTGAAAAAAAAACTGATGCCAATCTGCCAATAAAACTGGCTTTCAGACTGCCATTGGTCGATGTCCGTTAAAATTCATTATCATAAGACCTGTGAGTCTGACAAAAAGCCGGCGATAACTTGAAGCAGCAGTTCAAATGAAAAACGATAATTGCACTCGGTGCGCACGCTCAGTGTTGCGTGAAAATGAAGATCTGGGTGAAAATTAATAATGATACTCCGTAACCTAGATGCATCATTATTTGATTCTCGAATGCAGATATAAACTTGAAGAGCTCGCAAGCAGAAACCAGAAGAGTGAGAATGACGACGCTGTGACTGCGCCTGGGATGATTGCACCTACTTGGTTTCACAATATAGAAAAGCATTTATCATTTTCTCACTTTTGTCATAAGCAGTAAATAGAAACTGTACAGTTTATACCGTACCGTGCTTTAAACAGTTTGACTCAAAATCAAACCAAAGGAATGGATAACGAATTTTGGCAAAATCAAACAGAAATGCCGTACCTTAATGGGACAGGTATTGAGGCAAACATCACAAAATTTGAAGCCGCATCCCGTTGGGAGAATGCAGTCTTCGTAACGGTAGCTGTCTTGTTCTCAGTCATTGCTGCTATTGGATTTGTGGGCAACTCGCTGGTTCTGGTGGTTCTTCTCAACAACAGACCGATGCGAACTACAACCAATATTCTTATTGCGAACTTAGCCGTGGCAGACCTGTGCTTTATAGTTTTTTGTGTACCTTTTACGGCCACAATGTACATTCTAGACTATTGGCCTTTTGGAAGATTTTGGTGCCGGTTCGTCTACTACCTGATATATGTAAGCGCCTGGGCAAGTATTTACACCCTGGTTATAATGGCGGTTGACAGGTTTTTTACATTAGTACTTGTGTTCCATTCGCTAACATTAAAGACTCGGCGAAACACTGTCATACTACTAGTTATAATATGGGTAGTGCTTTGCCTTGTCAATCTACCTGCCTACTATGAACACGACCAACATGTATACTCGTTTGGTAACGATATACGGATCAAGTGTTTGGATTACAACCTAATGTTCGATATTGAAAAGGCCAGACTATTTTATTTTTTCTTTTTTGCTTTTGGCTATGCCCTACCACTGGTCACAATTGTCGCGATGTATACAGTGATCGTTTATCGTTTATACTGGCACAGATGCCCAGAAAGAGCCAGGACAGCCGAAATAAGCAAGGCAAAGAGACGTCTTACACGTGTTGCCATCATAGTCACCGCGGTTTTTGCGCTGTGTTGGCTTCCCATACAGGTTGCCTTTCTGCTCCGATTGCAATGGGCAATTCCAGATGAAAGTCTGAAGTCTTTCTTGTATTTCCAACTTTTTGCAACATGCCTGGCCTATACGAACAGTTGTATCAACCCTATCTTGTATGCTTTCGTTTATGCCAACTTCAGAAAAGGGTTCTACAGGGTTATTTTCTGCAAGAAAGGGCATGAGTTGGGGATGGACTCAAACAGCAGGCGTTCTACGGGAAGAAGTCGCTTTGGTGATGAGATGCATCCACTAAGGGATATGTCTGAGGTCACTACAATTGAAGGTGTGCATATCTGAACATTTAATCTATGAACTGATTTTATGTGAACACAGAATACGTGGACTATGTGAACTTAATGTTTAGCTCAGTGGTTATTCATTGCTAGAAAACGGTTCAAGACACCGACATTTTTCAAACTCTAAGTCCAACGAAATGAAACAACGTTGGCCTTGTATATTTTTTGTATTTCTTACTTACTCGTTATAGGAAGCGTCGAAAAATTTTAGAAATACGGGGAAAAGGATTGTAAGTTGTTTTTTCTCATAATTCATAATTTTTCTATGGAAATTATGAAATCTGTTTCTTACATTCTTAATATATGTAGATGATTCGGCATTGACCATGTTATTGGCGTGACTTGTCAATTTATTTTCTCAATTGACATTTATGACAGCGATGGAGGTGTGAAAAAGCCTATCACGCTTCGAGTATTCTTGCAATACTGTCCATTAGTTATATACGGGAAATAGTTCTCTGACTGATTGTGACATTTTATCAGGAAAAACATGCTGCCTGGATTTTGAGTTAGACACTTTAAGTGGCAAATCGTCTGGCATATATCCATTCTCTAAATGACTTTGGCGCGTTCAGGTAGACAGCTTGCCAATACATAGCGTTTGCAGTTCATAAAATACCTAATCATCTTGAAATAAAGTAATAGAAAAGATACGACTTCTCTTAAAGATCAAAGAGATGTCAGTTTTTTATCTTGATGATTAAGCTTCTTGAATTTCATGATGCAACAGAAGTTTAGTTCAAATATTGGTTCATGTTTGAAAACAAGTCATTCGTTTCTCCTCGGTGTCATTAATATGAAATGACAGCTGACAATGAAATGGCGTTCCTTAAGTGGTGGACATGTTGGTGAATTAACGAAGTAAAGATGTTTAAGGATGTAAATAATATTTAACATGAATAGGTGTGCCTTTAAATATTTAATGTTATCTTTATTATCATCGTGAGTGAACTGATATTTATCACACATGATTGGCACGTGCCGCTGGAATATATATATATATATATATATATATATATATATATATATATATATATATATATATATATATATATATATATATATATTTTCCTGGAAAATATGTATATTTTGCAACTGTACTTTGTATTGCTAGTAATGGTCTATATATTCAGTTTACCTTTAATGCATTTACCCTTGTACAAATGTGGAAATAAAGTATGTAAATTCAAATGTATTCGTAAACATGAACTGGAAATGTAAATGCAATATATAAATGAAGACACGAGTGATCATCTGATTTTGAAAAATGGGCAGTTGTGATCTTTTATCCATGAAATAGTCATCTGGCCTCCAGTAGAATTACAAAAGTAAAGATTCAAAGATATCTTGGGAATTTTCTGTTTGATTAATGCGGATTAAATGCCTAGAAGACTATTATGTTTGGTTTTTAACAGAATGACAAATATGTGTATATAAAATGGTGGCGACGGTACCCAACTTAAGTTCAAAAGAAAATCTGCAACAAATCCCAAAAATACCACAAAAATTGTTCTGATAGATGAGTTGATAAGAACAAAGTGTGTTTGAAAAATGGGAGAAAAATAGAGTCATTTTATAAGCATCAGCTGTCTTCGAATTCGGCGTTTGCCACAAGAACAATAACAAAAACAAAAAGAAAATTGCGGATCAAGGCACTAAACGCTTTAATATTATACTACATATTTACACTTGTTGACGAAAATGAAACTAGGACATTTGTTTAAGTGTCACAGTCTCGGCGTGCACGATTTGTCATTGCAGCCCGTGTGACACGAATGGTAGTCCGCCAGGAACCGTAGTGCGTTTCCCATTATTTTTTACAGGTAGCATGCGTCCCATGTGCAAATCCCAATACTACGGCTGACCGTGACTTGTAGTAATCATAGGGGACTTCGGACTTCCATTTCTAAGACTACCATTCCTGTCACACCGGCCTATTAATCTCTCTACTTTGGAAAGTTCTTTGTTAAATGTTTGAATAAAAACCAAACGCCTGAAATCATGCAGTTTTTTTCTTTTGAGGGAAGTTCATACGACAAAACAATTTTGTGGAATAAAACTTCCGTCATTCAACATTCCTGGGTAGGGTGAGATCTGATTTGAGGCAATGTGATGTTGCTAAGATGCGCTGGAAGGAATGAACATAACCACAGTTAACAATGTAATAAAAGATGATGCGAGTTACAGGATTTGCATTGTTATCATTATAATGAATTAATCATTCTAACATCTGTTTCGGCATAAGACTTTTCCGTAAAAATTGGATTTTTTAATATCTACACAGAGATTCTTTTCCTTGAATTTCTAGTTAGTAGTAACCCCCTTCTCCTACAAAGTAAACACTCCCGTATAAGAAAAGAAAATACATTGAATGCAAGACTTGAACTCAGAAAGAAGTGGGTGGGTGGGTGGGGGGGGGGGGGAGGTCACGTTGTCTTGTCTATTTTGAACCATTTACAGTAATCTGGGTGCGTGTTGGCTGTTTGGGTGCGTGTTAGCTGAACTCATCGCAAATAGTTTATTCTTTAAAAAATCCCAAAACAAATATGACTCCAAAGATACATGCAGATAATATTTATATATGCTCTCCTCGTGCCAAATAACGACAAATACTATCTACCGATATACTCACATACATGTATACATCTATATTCATCCTGTTACTCATCCCATATGATGTCATTATTGTGACGTTCTTATTGTGTCTGATACTTGCTCTTAGAAGTTTGAAAATGGGGGGAATTAATTTGCATTAAGTCCATTTTTGGTACAGTTAACTGCTTGGTGACCTATTAGCTGCAGAAATATCAGACGACCAAGATGCGTTGTCTTCTATCCTATAGGCCTACTGCTTTGTCACAGTAATAAAAACGGACCTAAGCCGGGAACGTTTTAATGAAATTTTTGTGCAATAACGCGAGGATTTAGTTAGAGAATTTCCGTGGGAAAATATAAAAGGAATGCTGTCTGATGTAAAATTGACTATTTGACAAGTGTTACATCCTCACGAAATCTATTCAACAAACAGCAAGAACTCGTCTTAGATAAAGTTCAACGTTTATTGTTGTAATACTTTTAATCACACCAGGAGCACATTTGATATATTGTCTTTATAGCAAACGGTTATAAACAAAATACTAACGCTTCTAAGGAAAATGATCTAGGTATACAAATCAGTGCCCTTTATATAGTTTGTAGTTTTGGCAACCATGTTTTTGGCAGAGTTTTTAATAGTTAGTACACCCGTCTTGCTTAATATTCATCAAGTACTTCGTTCTTAAACCTTGTTGTTCCAACCGGGACCTAAGCTGGTTAGTCAAGTCGTCTGGCAAACCAGCTTTGTCACGTGAGAGCAGCCACAGGATATCTGGAAAGACAAGGAAGCGCGTTGATTTTAAGGCCATCTGTTACATAGGCTGTGATAAGCATGTGTTAAAGATTCAACCACGCCGCACAGTACATATTTTGCTTTTTGAGAATTGTTTCATTGCTAGGGCATTTGTGCGTCTGTTTTCATAACATTATCCAGACATTAGCACATCGGGCGGGAAAAAAAAAAACACCGAAGGTCAATATTGCAAAACGATTCAAAAACATTTATCGGAGATTAGCATATTGTCATTGAATGATATAACATAGTAGCACATAACATAGTGCAAAATTAATAGTTTATTGGAGCCACATGTATCATGTCAAGCATACTGCCTTATCCAAACTTCTCTCTCTCTCTCTCTCTCTCTCCTCTCTCTCTCTCTCTCTCTCTCTCTCACACACACACACACACACACACTACATACCTGCATGCAAGAAGCCTCCAAAGTCGGCACATGAGTACACTACAGAGAAGGTATTGTAATCAGTATCCAAAACCCAATAATTAGGTTTGCCAGTGCTGGGGGCTCCTGCAAAAAGGACACACATTTGTCTTTTATGGAAGAATATATATATATATATATATCATATCTGGTCTATGTATATAATGCTTGAAACGACAGTAACAGCGGCGGTGGGTCCAGATGATGGGTAAAGGGAAAACCCTGCTTGAAAGAAAGCATCATCTAGCAAATTCTGTTCGTGCCACCCTCCTTGCATTAAGAAGATCCCAGTTTCATAAATAATTTATCGGTAGATTATGATTAATAATATTTGAGTTATATTTGAATACTGGTTCTATTTGGAATTGAACTGAGATATAGAAGTTATGCTAAAAAAATGTACCTCCAAAATTAACAATGATTTTAGCTGGTTCATCTGGGTCCGGGGCGAACGCGTCTCCTATGGCCTCAGTACTTTTCCCACTGGAAAGAATTTAAAACTTTGAAATATATACTTTGTCTTTGTTGTTGTTTAAATAACAATGTAAAAAACAACAGACGTACTTTGTCTGATAAAGAAAACTGGCGTGGGATAAACACTATTTTATTTTTTTTGGTTAAAGCTTTCTAAAACTTCTTTTTTTTTTGCATCTTGGTGAAGAGCACAGAGTACAGAGTCAGGCAACGTTTCCAGACCACTTGTCAAGCTAAAGGAAACACGTTGAGAGCAAAAATTATCGGGTTTATGGCAGAAATGACGTCTATCGATAATTAAGAATGTTTTTAATATACACGACTTTCATGGTATGTATTACCACTTCTTTGCAATATGCGCATTGATATTATTGCTACTTATCTTGGCCGTATTATTTGTAAAGTGATAAGAAAAACACAGTAATCAACATATACGAAAAAAAGAAAAATCAAATATTGTCTGAAACTTACCTCCATTTCTTGGTCCCAGTGTTGTTAACGAGGATATGCCCGTCATCTTTCAAAGTATATTCGGCACGTCCGCATTTCAGACCAAATTCAAAGACGGCAAAGTATCGCTGGTATTCATACCAAACCCCAACATACTGAAATAACAACATTGGTGCACTACTAATATTATGATTAGATAAGGCAAAGACATAAGAGTTCGTTACAAAAAATATTGACTTAAACGAGTCGCTGTTTAGTATACTGGTACAATCTAAAATGTGTGTGTGTGTGTGTGTGTGCGCGTGCGTGCGTACATGTGTGTATGTATGTGTGTGTAAAAGAGAGGGAGGGGAGAGAGACAGAGTGTGTGTGTGTAGGCTAAGTGTGTGCGCGTGTGTGTGTAAAAGTGTGGGGGGGGGGGGACAGTCATGTTCACAAGAACACCCACTAAAGGAAAGTTTGGCGTAGTCAAACGACATTTTATGGCGACTACAATCTCCAGAGAGCTTATTTAAGCACATGTGCATTCTGCTCATGCTCAATTGTGCCCTAGAGGGGTAATCTCCTTAGAGGCACATGTTGCTACTTATACCATGGGGCATCACTGCCTGGCCTCATTTTGCTTGATTCATTCTGTTCACGAGCATGATACAATTAAGCTACAAGTTATCTCAAATCTTCATTTTACCCCACAAATGAAATTTGTGCAAAATTGTTGGTAAATAATAACTTTTGCTGACTCGTCGCATCATAATTTTTAGGATGATGAGTCTCATTGAATATTTGATATATAATTTTTATCCCTAAGGCCATAACATTTAATACAGGCAACAATTTGCTACATTGTTATTATTGTTAAAACGATTAGGATAGAGGGGTTATATAATAAAAGCGGCCTGGTTTGGCCAAATCACGAACAAACAATATTCCTTGTTACCTTCTTTCTTGCTATGAATGAGACTATAAAAGTTTGTGGTACACTGAGATGGAGGAGACATAAATTCATATTTCATAATCTTTTATACATACATAAGATTAAGTCTGTGTAATTTTAAGGTAATTTGAAATTCAACCACCAGCGTCTATTTTCTATTCTGTCGTGACTGCTATTTAAAGACTTCTTAATTTGAAAATCTTATTTATAATGCAGAGGCTGTACCCTCGCGTGCTTCCTTTAATGCCCCGTAACCACACCAGTAGGCTTTGGGGCCATTCAGAACAGAAGATCCGAGTATCAACTGGCCCAAGGTTCAAATATGACAGAGCCTATATGAAAGGTCTACTTTAATGGTCTCTCCACCTCTCACACACCTCCCCACACGTCTGGTCGAATGAAGCCGAGATTTAATTACTGTGCGGACGCCATCCATAAAATTAAACCAGTGTGGCCAACAGTGTATTTTTGGGTTTTGTACTGGATAAAAGGATAGTCGTTAAGTACAAATATTATTGAAGACGCCAGCAAAATTTGTTAATCGCATTTTTTCGTGCCAAAGTCCATTGTGCAAACAAATCAGCACATAACAGGTAACACTACCTTGGGTTTGAAACGACTAATTCTTCACATTTCGTGCTTGCTGCGCTCGTCTGTTCAGATAATTATAGAGTTTATTTAGTTTATTTAACAACACGTTTCACAAACCCCACCAACTATATTTACACAAAATAATTATCAATGTCGCTTTTTTACAGTATTATTTTAAAGTATCGTAGCCTGTTTAAAGCTCCAAAATCCTATGTAGGCCTATTTGTCTACTTCACATCCACGCGTAAATAACATCCGTATCCCGATATCTTACCTGATCAACATCAAAATTTTGTTTCACTGGAGGAGCGGGGCATTTTCCAAATCCTGGGATCTGCGCTAGGACACATGTCACCGTACTGAATATAAACACTACAAAGTATGTGGACCGCATCCTCGAGAATAGACAACTTTCTAAATTTACTGACACTTTGCTTCTTGAAGTTGCTTTTTGGGAGCGCCGTTCGTCACATCAATTTTTTGAGTATCTTAACTTTTGGCCCACTTATTCCTGTCTTCTTTGTTTATGGCTGGCAGGTTCCTGTTGGGTTCTCTTCTCTGTGCTAAAGTACTCGTCGCCTGCCACAATTACCCTTGCCAATATAGCTTACAACATACCAGAACTTCTTGTTTTTATGGGCTGAGCGTTGTGTAAGTGTTTGGGATAAGGTGAATCAGATCATCCGGTTACGCTCGTGACTTGTGCCCGAGTACTATTAATCTTTAATGCGTACCGCAAACATGACCCATGAAGTTTAGTCATCAGACCGATTTTGTCAAGTGACCGGTGTCGGTCCTCGTAATGGTCATTTAAACAGGTGATTAAAACTTAGATCAGCCCTTTAGTCACCCCTTTTAAAAAAATCAAAACCTGACCTTATACATTAAGAAAGAAACTCAGGTCTACAGAAGCCTACTTCACGTACACAAAAATACAAAAAATGTGCATTTCAATGTAGACCCTGAACTGATTATATCAAAAATATTAAAACACAGGAAGGCAATATTCTAAACGGTCTAAATCAGCACTGGTTGGTTTAAAATACAAATTACAATGTTATTCAATTGTCGCTTTGATTAAATGGCTTTTTTACGATATTTAAAATGCATGTTGAGTGTATTCATTTCACGTGTCGTGCCCCCTCGTCTGTTTGTCGTATCCACTGTATAACACAGTCAAGCATCAGTTAAACAAAACGTGCCAGAGAAGCACGTGGCGCTCCACGCGATGAGTGTTTATTGGAAACGGCAGTAATGTCAATTATTTTTGCCAAGGCACACGAAAGAATATCAGATTAGTACTGGATGCCAAATATATCTGTTTGGAGGGTAACATCCATTTCTTCAACCGACGAAGTCTGTTGGGTGCGAGAAATCTCAATACACTTGCTTAAGCTCTTTGTCTTAACCTCTTTGTAGTTATTCCCCTTCGGGGAAAATCTGGGTTCTACTTGACCATCTTTTACGACAGTGCTTAGATATATTGAGAGGCAAAGGTCACAATTGCTTTCCAATAATTTTTTGCTTTGAACGCCATCCGGTGCAGTTACGATCACGGAATCATCTTAATTAATCGTGTATATAAAGAAAATTATGATTCAATAAAAATATATACATAAAGGTAGGGTTTATATGTATATGTAAAGGCCTGTAGTTGTAAAGCAAAGGAGCATTAGTTATAGGAGGTGATTTAATAAATATCCTTCTTAAAGTCTGAATTGGAAATATAGCAAGTAGCTTTGTAGGATATATAGACATAATAAATATGATTTTAGGAAATTTCCAAACACTTACAGTATTCCTTTATGGTATATAATGAAAATGATTCTTATTCTCAATGGTACCATAGATCTTATACACATGAATATCAAGTGTATCTTGGGTGGCAAATGGCTGACGACAGTGGCGAGGTATATAGGCTACAGGAATACCACCGATTTATTTTTAAAAAAAAGCGTTTGTAAATGCCCCGGATCCACATTTCTATGTTTACATAAACAACAAAACTACCCATTCCAGTTTCAGACATTTACAAAAACGATAAAACCCCTCCAAAAAGTAGCTGATGACAATATTTCCTCCTAAAATGCCAGGAAGTGTATGCCGGTGTGTAACGAAACTGAGGGACCGTGTGACAAAAAGTCCGCCATCCATTTGGTTATAATGGGTCAAAATCCAGGCTTACCTGTACAAATTAATGGGAAGCGGACTCTCTATCATGGGGGACTCTCTGCCACGTTACACCGGACCAAATGAAACATGATTCGTTTAAAACTGGAGGATCTAAAATTTCAAATCTAAGTGCAGGGGTGGGTCGAACATTAGTTCTTGAGTAGGATTTTTCCTGGGGTAAAATTAGATTTTGCGCAAAAATCTTATAAAGCATACCTTTATTGTCAGCTTAGAGAATCTTTAACAAAAATTGGGCAAGGTGTGTGGTCTTAAAATCACCGTCAACTTTAGCCTACTGCACTGCCAAACTTATAGGTTTATTGATTACAAACGACACTATGTATTTATCGAATCCAAGTGCAGGGAAGGGTTGCTTTTTATCTCGAAAGAAATAAGATTTCGCTCGAAATCACGCATAAAATGCTTTTTAAATTTACCCTTTAGATATAACTCATGCAGCATTTGAATTTTATATATAAAAAAGACATTTTTTAAATCTAACACGAGTTTATACCTAGAGGTTCCCTTTAGGAGGCACCAAAAAGGTTAAATGGAAGAAGGAATCGATGCTGTTTAGGCCCTATGCATTTCAATGCAGAGGGTCCCATTGGGTTTTTCCTTACTCGTAAAATAAAAGCCACTTTTAATTTCCCCGAGATGTGTGACACGCTCATTTTATTTAGTGCCATTCGTGAACCACCCAATATTCCCGTGCCTCTGACCTTTTGTAACGAAGTCGACGTGATCATTATACCCGGTGATTCGTGATTTTCATTATTATTAGTGATATATGAATAAAGTTTTATTTTCTGTGATTTGTGAATTGTTGATTTTATTTCCCGCGAACTGTGATCACTATACCCCACCCCACCCCAAATATTGGGCCCTCAGTGGGGGCCGTAGCAATAGTCCGAAGGTTCAATAGTCCGAAGGTTCATTGGTCCGAATATTCACTATAGAACCTTCGGCCCAATGAACCCTTGTTTAAAAAATCGATGAAAATGTTACCACTTTTCGGACCAATGAACCTTCGGACTATCGAGACGCCCCCCCCTCAGTGTAGCCTACTTCTCGGCTAGGCGGCGGTAAGGCCTTACTGAGGATGACATTCCTCGATTTCTTTCCGTCGGAGATTTTCAACACACTCCCATGCTCAAACAGTCAGGAGTGAGAATACTGGCTTGAATATGCCTCTGGGAGTAGGGAGGTCAGGTCAACTTTGATAGTAACATAAATATCAGCCAAAGTGATCTTATTTCATAGAGAAATTCATGAGCTTTCCAAAACATTTTAATTTTTGAAAATCAAGCAAGCCAATCAAAAGTTATTAAATTTTCAAGAATGCTAGTCGGCCACAGAATTTTGAAAAAGTCTTATATGCAAGCATATGTAACAGTAGAAGCCAAAAGTGTCACCTAATTGCCTAATCAATTAAACAAAATTGGCATAACTTTTGAATGGAGTAAAATATCCATTTGAAATTTTCTGGAAAGTTACACTATGCCAAGAAGAATCTGACAAGGTATCATTTTCTGTAATTTATTCATTATTTCCATGGCAACCGTTGCTAAATATCAATAGCGATCAATACTATTTTTTATTTTTCAACCTTAAAGCTTCAGCATCACTGCCCAAAGGCTACTTTTGGATGAAAATGATTCTAAAAAATGTGCCATCACTAAAAAACAAAAATAATGGCTTGTAATGTATCTGTTGCTATGGAAATAGTCATTATGATAACTGTTGCTATGGTAACAGTTTGAATTATTTTTTAAACATTATAATCAAATTTTTAACTGATTATGAAGTGGGAAACACTTTTTGTACTCAATTTATGAATTTAAGTTAAATAGTAAACAAATACCATGTCACTGTTGCCATGGCAACCAATATTACAAAGACAACTGCATATACAATTTAAGGTTTAACTAGTGAAAATTGCCAGAATGCACGATGAAAATAAGTAATATCCGATTTTGGAAAGTTATCATTTTGCCAAAAAAATTTAATTGATATTGGACATCATAGCAGCTAGGTAATACAAAAACCAGCAAGATTATTTTGACAGACTGCCATAACGTAATGGCAGTTTTAGGAATTTTCCTTTTTTATTTTTGCTAAGCAAAAATAAATAGATACTACTTTTGTTCACTTTGTTTGACTGTCATTTACCATTCTAGAGTTTTTCATATCTCCATGATTTTAATTAAGATTCCCCTTTTTATAATCACTAACGAGTTCAAAGGTGAAATGGGGCCGTAGCAATAGTCCGAAGGTTCAATCATTAGGCCCATCAACATCAGGCCTGTAGCCAGCAATTTAAGAGGGGGGTTCGTTTTCTGAAAAAGTGGACCTTTTACCATAAAATCATCAAGTACATAGATCAAATAGTACCCAGAGTGGACCTTTTCCCAGCAAAAAGGGCAGTTCTTTCGAATCCCCCCTGGCTACGGGCCTAAACATCGTACGTAATTTGTTTGAAAAATAAAATAAACTGTATATTCTTGAATTGCACACGTTTTATCAATATCCTTGGGTTTCGTCAACAATTCAAAGATTTTCTGATTAGATATTCTAATATCTTGATCTTCTTTCGGTACTGAAAGTGTAGTTGCTGTTTTATAAGCAGAGCAGCTTGGTGCGTTCGCCATTTTGTTTGCGGTAAGATCAAAGTCACTGATTTTCAAACGGCTGTTACGGCTCTATCTTACCAAAAAATGATAAATAAAAAACTGATTTGAACCGAGAATTAGTAAAAAAATTTAGGTAGGGGTTACAGAACTTTCAGAAATTCGTTATTCTAACTCTAAAACACGATTAAAAACTTAACAAGCTAGTTTTGGTTGCTGTTTTCGGTTGAGTAAACTTCTGTAACCCCTCACTCGAACGCTTGTTTCATTCTCCTCATGAATATGTGTCCAAATACGAGGAAAAAACATCCGGGACGCCGTACGGAGCTTTTAGAAAAATGGCGCGAAACGCGCATGTTGAGGAAAATTCGTAAATAGTGGAAACCAAACGAGGAAGTGAAATCACCAGCGATTTCTCACAGCATTTTCGTGGCTAGGGGCTTACAACAGAGAAATAATGCATTTTTACACATATTGTAAGAAAGCCCATTCAATGCACTTTTAAAATATATTTTCATATTTATCATAGGATCAAAAACTTGGAAGTTATGCTGGAAAACAAACAGCGAGGTTAGATTTTTTCCCGTTTTCGACCGCGTGAGCGGTGTGACCTGACCTCCCTACTGGGAGCGAATTTGTTTGTCTGACGACTAAATTGCCGTTTCCCATATTGCTATGAATTTGGGTGAAGCTCATTATAAATAGACCGAGATAATGTCGGGCTTAATATTATTTGTCAGAGAAAATAGGTTTAGAACTACTTTGTAAATTGTAGTTGGTTAGTCAAATGTCCATTTCAGATAGATTTTGCTTGCATTATCTAAATCTGAAATACCCCTCTCAGCCATTCAGTTAATGACGTCACGTCCTATTTTCCTGGCAATCGGCAATCCTCGGCTCATTCCGCAAGCTCCATACTCCATTGTCGAGTGCGGAGACATCCGAGTAGTTCCGAGTGATTTTCATGGACCATATATGTAGGTCAAGGTTACTAAGTAAAGTCAGCGCATTCTTTGCTTTCGGCCATGACGTGCTGGAGCAGGTGTGCAACAATAAAGATCATTTGAAGACAACAAACAGGGAAATAATATGTCACTGGGTCAGTATAAGCAAAATCTACCGTTTATCTTGAAGAAAGTCAATTATCTCAGATTGTAGATATCAGCCGCTGATATAAAGAAGAGAGAAGTGCAGGTCAATCCGCCATTTTACCTCCCCCTTCCCGTCCTCCCCCTCCTCCTCAGTAATAACCTAACTAAGTGTGTAAAATATTGTTCTAACTTCCTTTAAGGATGTCATTTTCTTTTTTAAGGGAACATCATCCTTATACAGCGTGTCGCAGTCTCCTTTTTATCTGCCTGGGCTAGTATGAAGTTAATTTGATCATTGCGTTGTCAACACAATGATGAATCTAATGAAAGCAGATTTGTGACATTTCCATGACCAGCAGTTACTAATGATCAATGCAATGTGCTAACAATTCAAGTCAGAGAAGGGGCCGTAGCAATAGTCCGAAGGTTCAATAGTCCAAATATTCACTATAGAACCTTCGGACCAATGAACCCTTGTTTAAAAAATCGATGAAAATGTTACCACTTTTCGGACCAATGAACCTTCGGACTATCGAGATGCCCCCTCAGAGAAAGCTTACTTCTATTATTGAGGTAGAAGGCCACTTCACTATACAGAGACTCTCAGAGATGCTTGTCGCTGTGATGCCAAATAAATGGAAATCAGAATCAAGATATAATTTTGTGGATAACATTCTGCCCCACAATACTAGTGACTGAGGAGGGGGGTCTGGGTGATAGGTAACCATCATCCCAATGTGGATGTGGGCAGAATGTAAAAAAGTATATATTCAGTGTGGGCAGATCACTTTGAGAAATGTGTGTTAAAGCTGTAAAGGTTGTCCTGGTTTAAAAGTTGTGGACAGGTAGATATTTTGTAGGCTGGTGTTAAGTTCATATATGCATGTAAACAAAAATCATTATTTGTCTTTTTATTTTTAGGTGAGACCAAATGGGTTATTCTTTGGTCAGTTTTTACATTGACTTTAGTGACAAGATGGAGCCAAGAGCAGAAAAAAAATACCATGCCAAAGTTTATGATACAGAGTAAATGGCAGCAATGCCAGCAAGCTGGGATCATGAAGAATTTAAGTGTAGAACCATGCCAATATAAACTGGTTCTTACAGTTACACTGGTGGACAGTAACAAGGTGCAAGGCATATAGATAGTTTTGAATCTAGGGTCAATCTACAAGATATTTCTGAAATTCTGAAATAAATGAATAACAAGAGTTGTTGACTATATTTGTTAATCAGGTTTTGAATTTTATCACAAGTAGTTGTTTTTTTGTTATTTAATTTCATTTGTTATTTCAGATATCTCCTGAACCAGAGTATGTTAAAGTGACCAGTGTTGAAGATAACACAACTGGAGAGGTCTTGCAGCTGTATAACCCATTGGTTTTGAAAATATATCTGGAAGAAGTCACATTAATATATCCACTGAGGTATCTGTATGTAAGTATGTGATGGTGATGTGGGTTAATAATTTAGCCATCTATTTTTTTATAAAGAAAACCGATACTGCATGTATAATTTAAAATTACTTTAGCATCAGTGCTATAACTTGGGTAACAAGCAGTATCTGAGAACCTTTTCTTCAAATTCTGATTATTTACAGAGTGTGAACAACAAAGCATATGAAGTAATTCTACAGAAGGACAATACAGAGGAATATAGTGGATGTGATAATTCCACATGCGGGCATTCCTATCATAAAGGAAAACTGGTTTTACACAGTCAGGTGATGAGAATATGAAATAATTCAGCAAAAAGCATAGTTCTGAGATTGACTGACAAATCTTATTTTACCCAACAATTCTGGGATATTTATAAAAATTGGAAGATCTCCAAAATTGTTTTCTGAATCTTATAGAGTACTTAAATACCACACAATATTACCAGTGTACTCATATATTTTAGTATCTGCTTTAGTGTCTGATTTTTAGTGCCATTCACTTATCTATCAATTTACAGACATTTTTTTTCAGATTTAAATCAGAAAACAAATTTTAGGTTGTAAGTTTTACACCTTAATTGGCCCACAATTGCAGTCATGATGCCAGTGTTCCATTTTTTTTTTTTTTTTTCGTTTTTCCAACAACCCCAAATCTTGTCTAAATTAGGTGGTTAAAAACCTTCATATCTGGTACTTTCTCAGGGGTTTTGCTGTCATTGTAATGAGAGCACTAGTCGTTACCATCCCAGGGGAGGTCAGGATTGCAAAGAATTGAAAGATCACCCTGATCAGGGGAACCATAGATATTCCAGTGCTCATTGCTTGAAGTATGATCCACTCTGGTAAGCTAAGTTGATGTAGGCTTTGATGGGCCTTGGATTTATTCCTTTGCTCTGCTAAAACTGGGTTTAATTATCAAAACAATAAAGTTTGTTTTAACAGGCCTAGGGTATCTGAAAAACTGATTCACTGTTTGCTTTTGAATATTCTACAGTTGTTTGGGATCGGGTTAACACATTTGACATTTTGCTGCCTGGTTTTCAAATAACAATACACTGTCTTTTGACTCTATCTACCCTATCCAATATTACCATTCATTTGACTTTCATCAATCTTACCTTATATAACCTATGAAGGTACAGTGTGAACAGCCTTGGGCAACCTCGTCTTCACCAAGGGTTCTCTGTCCAGGTATTCCAACAGGTGGATAAAGCTGATTCAAACAGGAGATGGTCTGAAATAACCACTGGACGTCCACTTCATGTCAGCACAGAGAAGACAGTTGATATGGCTGGAAATAAGGTATCTTTATGACTAAGATATCATGGTGGCAATATAGGAAATAGGTTTATTTTCTGGATCGAAAAAAATGACATGGTATAGGTTAGTGTTTTATGGCAATAATGAAGAGGTCATTGGTTTGATTTTTTTTTGTCTGTATACCTCAAATCTTTTTTAATTGAAATATAATGAAAATGATATAGAAAGGCAGACTGTATGTTATTAACTTTAAAAATTATATGAATATTTTCAACAGGTAATGGTTGCCTATAGGGAACTCTTTAGTCTCTCAAGCCTTGTGGTTGACAATGAACATCCTTTGGACCGAGAAAATAAGCTATTACTGGTTCCTCAGCCACACCCAAATATTACCAAGGAAAACTTGCCTCCACAGTTACAGGTACCACACAGTTTGCTACACAAATAATAGAGAGGGAATACTCTGTTAATACATATTCAGCTGTTGTATATATTCTCTTCTTACTACTTCAAAGGTGAGAAATATTTAAGAGCTTAATTTCCATGTACATATTTCTCTGTGGGCTTGCAGGTATGTATTTCTCCCTGGGCTTGCACGTACATATTTCAAAACTAATCTTATTGACCATGTTACCTGTTGTGCATGATTAAAATTTATTGTTAATTGACTGTCATACTTGTTAAAGGCTTCAGCGTTTTCATGTACAGACTCAGTATCTGTACATTGAGCCATAAACGGAGCACTCACTTTTCTTGAACTAGTTCAAGTGTCTTATCTTTCACTGAAATTTGTTTCAGACAATTGAACATAGCATTCTGCTTGTGAATCAAACCCTCATTGAACGTGAAGGGACCCACTGTGATAGAATTGGAGTGTCATACACAGCCTTCCAAAAACAGACAAAGAGATGCACTCAGCCAGCTCAGAGGTACTTGTCTTTTCCAGATATTAACAACCAAAACAGTACATCTGGTCATACCGTGCATTTTTTTCCAGAATATGGTAATTGCTTGGCAACATAGTGATATTAACATGGTTTGCACATGTTAATTAGGATATAGTAGATTGATCATGCCTAGAAAAAGTGTTTGCTGTAGATTAGATATGATTTATTGCTGTGAGTCTTTTGATCACATTTTCAATTTTCTGATTTCTCTCTCTGTCTCTTTTTCTATCTTTCCTGTCTTCTTCTTTCCATCCAGTTGTTTGAACAATCAGCCCATGGATCTATGGTTACATGATGAGGTGAAAATATACAGTCCTGTTTGTTTTTTTTATCTGTTGATTTTGGATATACCTGTAGCATTGGTTCATTAATAGTATTTTTTCTTTAAGGTAAAGTTAATATTATGGTTTTGTTTCATGTAATGTTGGTTTAATGAAACACTGCAGTTGTAGTTGATTTCACAGGATCTCAGTATTTGTAAACATTCACAACAGTTTGTTTAGATTTCAAGAAAAAAAGAAAGAAAAATGAAACACATCTAAACCTTATAACTTTGTCTGAACTTTGCAGGAAAAACGTCTGTCAGGACAGAAGGGAAAATACTGGCTGTCAAACTTTGCTTCCTTGGCCAATGATCCATTTGTACGCAATACTACCACAGGAGAACAATGGTTAAGATTTAAGCATGAAGGAAACCACAGAGTGGTAGTACAGGTGGAAATTAATGCTGACAGGTTGAGTGTGGTGAAGGGGGAGTAAGTAGGATATTTTTATGCAACTAACAATGGATGCCAGTGTGTTTGTGTGTGTGTGTGTGTGTTTGTGTGTGTGTGTGTGTGTGTGCTTGTTAATGCACAAGCCTTTATGATATGAGTTCAAGCTACTAAAATTACATTCATATAATCCAGTTAAAAACATTTCAGTTTTGGAAGGTGCAAACTAAGGTGGATTTATGTATACTTCAGAGTAATAATTTGGTACTTATTATTTGCAGAATCTATGTGTTATTGAAACACCACAGTACACACCTTCTTTTGACATTATTTCCTCTTTTAGGTTGCTTCTTCAGATCATCAAAGTAGTGATTGTAAATGGCAAGAGTTCCACTACAATTAAGACAGATGTATTTAACAGAGGAATAGTTTCAACACGTTTCACTATTAAACTGGTCAATTGCAGCTTGAGCAAGAAAACGATAAAGGCAGCAACAGTGGGGCCTCGCCAGCTTCACTCATTTCACTATTCAGGAAAGTTGACCAAACATTCTGAAGCGAAAGAGTGCCAAGGTAATAATAACTTGAAGACTTATCTAACACAATTAAGTTTTTCAAAAGCAAATGTTGTCTTTGTTTTATACATTATCTGGTAGAACCACACACAAGTTTGTATCTGCATGTCTATGCTTTTTATAGTTTGGGTGAAAAGTTGTATGCCAGGTAGAGGTAATTAAGTCATCATCATTTTTTTTAATCTCAGGGTGAAAAAAATTAGTGAAGCAAGTTTTTTTTTCTAATTTGATCCTGCATGGGTCACAGGCAACCTTGAGGTTTCAGTCTTTTATTTTCATGTCCAAGAGAGAAAAAAAAACAGCAGAGGCTATCTATATGAACCAGCTGATCTTGATCTGTGTCACATTCAGCTTATCAAACACACACTAGTGGGCTTGATTTGGTCTTAAAGTGCAATTTAAGTTCACAAATAGTCTTAGGCTTCGTTCACATGCAATGTCTATTTTCTAATTTCTATTTTCTATTTGCGCTATCTTATGATCACGGTCTGTGCCCTAAATATCCCGCCGTGTAATTACTGGCAGCGCGAGCCAGTTACTTATAGTAACTTATAGTAACTGGCTCGCGCTGCCAGTAATTACGCCGCGGGATATTCAGGCCACAGACCGTGATCATAAGACATACACTCCTCTTACACATTCTCCTATTGTGAGCAGAGGCATCCTCTATTGTGAGGGGAGGTATCCCCCATTGTGAGGGGAGGAAACTGCTTGACCACTTTAGTAGATGTTAGATCATTTTTGATCTTAAAAGCAGATTCAGTCCATTTTAAGACTACTGCTGATCGTGTAAGATCACTTGTGTTCTTAAATTGCACTTTAAGACCAAATCCAGCCCACTAGTGACATCAGCTTAATTAAATGTATCTATATGTTTGTGACTCGTTTTCCCCACTGGAAAAACTGGAAGGTCTATGTAGTAAATACCTCACTTGCTCTACATAATAAGGGACTGGTTAATGGCTGTCACCTTCGAAGAATTTGCTGACCAATAATATTTATTTCATGCTCATCAAGGGGGGCTTGGATGCTGTAATAGTTATGTCTTAGCAAAAATCAACATCTAATTTCAATCAGTTGAATACATTTGCACAGATAAAATAGTATTCTGTTATTCTGTATAAGAATTTGACATTTTGTTTGTTGGTATCCTATTGTTTCAGTTGTAGTTGTTGGCCATAAGCATGCAGTTGTTGCTCGGAGAACCATCAAAATGAAGAAAGGCAGCAGATGTGTCTGTCTTGCCAACTGTCAGTGTAAGGTAAAGACTTTTTTGGTCAAAAATTTAACCCAATAACTGAACTTTTCATTTTTTTGTTTATCAGACATGATCTTTTTTTTTATTAGAATCATGGAATTACAAGATTGTTTTTATGTTTTGATGAAGCCTAAGGCAGGCCTTGTATTCCTGGCAGATATGTTTTGTTCCACTCTGAATGTTCAGATATATTTTAATCCAGACTAATGTCTGAATCTTTTATTTTTAGGGCAGTAAGTAATATGTTGATATGTGTACAAAAAGATTGATATGAGACCATTATTTTAAAGTTTTATACATCAAGAATCCTCAGAGTTGGAGTATGTCCAATTTGACTGAATGTGTAAATAAGTAATAAGGCTTAATCGTTTATCTTTTGTGTGATAAGAATGTATAAATTTGGTATTTATGTATGTACTACAAAGAAACTGGTGATCTTATGTAAATGGAATCTTTTCCAGTGCATGTCGGAAAGTTTGGTTTGTGAGCCTCTTTCTGAAGCAGACTACCACATGGCAGGGTTCACAGGCCCTGTGCCTAGGAGACAGCACTTATACAGGCAGTTGCCATTTGGAGCCAAAACAACCATCAACACTGTGTTGGCTGTGGTCATTGCTCTTCTCAGTTTAGGTATACCTTTATTGTTTGATTATTGTACCAGTGCATATAAAATAAGTACATAACTTTTAATGGACAAGAAAAAAGTGATATTTTGAATTCATTTTCATACTGTTCAAGTAAATTACTTTTGTCTCATTTTAAGGAATCCTTAAAGCATGGGTTGGTATAATGGTGTCTAGAAGGGTGGCTGCTTTTGGACTGTGCCTGTTCACAAGGAATGTACAAAAACTGAATGCCTATTATGAGCAAGAGTTGCAAGAAATAGCTGTGGAATATAACCAGTTTGGAGAGCCTGTCAATCCTTTGACGTATGTCACAACTTTTTTTCTTCCTTTACTTTTGAAGAGCAACATGTTTTAAATTAGACAAGATGAACAAGTATGAAGGCATTGGTGATCAGTTTCATAATGTATTTTAACTTATAATGGGAATTCTTTATACACATTATCTCTATAGTAGGACTTTTTTTTATAGTTTTTTTTATAGTTCATTTATATATTTATATATATTGGCAAAGATATAACATCAGTTCTTCATTTATTTATTATTATGCTAGTTTACTTACACTTTCAACTTTTAATGGCTCTCATATACTAGGGGTATATATAATTTTTTTCTTTTTTCTTTTATCAGGAAAAAACCTGTGAGCAAGATGAGTTTGACCACAGAGCTATTCTTAAATATGATTTTCTTCCTATACCTGCCATTTGTTTGGGTACACTGGCTCTTCATCAAGTGTGTGTCAGTACAAAGAAGGCCAGCAGCAGGTGACAAACTCCCTAATTCACCTGACAGTGATCCAAGCACAGGTGCTGAGAGTGCTGATCGTGGACCTCTCTCAAGGCAGAGCCTAGATCGACACTTTACGCTACAGCAGTTCAGGAAGCAAAAAGTTAAGTTAAAGGTACTTGATAGTTGTCTTCCGTACCATGTTAGTAACTGCTCTTAATTTTGTTTGGCCTATAAGAATAAATTATAAAGACTAAGTTTATAATCCTTACTTATTTTAAGCTATAATAATGTTTTTAGGACGAAATCAGTAGCCCAATTGTTTATCACATTATGAAACCTAAACCTACACCTGAAAAAATTTGGAAAATATTGTCAGATTTACGGTTTGAAATGGGCAAATTTGTCAGTAAAGACAATTAATTACCTGTTTTCTTATTATTGTTGAGGATAATTGAAATTTAAAGAGAAACCTGTTACTACTGTCATTGTTTTATTTGATCCAGAAAGGGCTCAATTGTGGCATACTGTTAGAAAATGAGAACAATAACAACTCGGCAGATGCATGTTCAAATGAAGGTTAGTGTCTGCATTTTTGTTTCATGATAATGTGGATCCTTATAATCAAAAGTATGGGGTTTGACTACTTTCATAAAATGATGCATGGGTATATTTCAGAATACTTTTGTTTAATATGAATTCTACAATTTTGTCAAAATAAATATTTTAGGTGTGTTCATCTCAACCCCCGGGGATCGGCTTGATTCAAGAAATGTAAAAAGTAAGATGCAGAAATGGTACATCACATACTTAAAAAACTTCTAGTTAAAATGCTGATGATCGATAAGAAAAAGAGAAAACAGTTGTGATTTAATAAAACAAAAGATGTATGGAGCATATGATTATATTTATGAAAATTATTCAATTCTTATGCATTTATGCTTCTCTTGTAGAATTTTGAGCCTCCTACAAACGGTTTCTACCTGTCCCTGTTCTGGCCTCTCCTCTCTAGTTGGTATCAATTTGTTCTATGTCTTATTACCATGACATTAAATTATTTCCAATTTTATAGGGCGTAGGCGTGCAAAGAAGAGTTCAGAGAAAGAAGATAACACTGGGAAAAATCCAGTTGATTTGTACACATTGCCAGGACAGCTTATTTATTACAATTTCACCAAAGCTAAAATGAAACCAAAGGTATACTGCTTAACAGAGCATCTTATAATGCAGACAATAAGGGGAGATCTCTCGCTCAATAAGTAAAAGCTGTTTTTATAATTGGGGGTTTCTAAATAATTTGCTTTCCAAATACATAAAGTGAAATCCAAATAATGTAGTTGATATTTGAAACATTTCCTTTGAAAGATTAAAGATACATAGGAAGTCAATTTTTTGCCACAAAAGCCAACCAAATGCCAGCATATAGTTTCAAGTAGTATAAGTAAGAGAATTACCTGAAGGCATTGTTTAATTTTACCTGAAAAATGATATTTGAACAGATTTTTCTGCTAGCATTCTAAGCTGTATATCAATGGGGCAAAAAAATAGGTCATGAAAGTAGGTTAAATTTTTGACCAAAAATTTAAAGAAAGGAGCAGTCTGAAGCTCTTTTATGGCTGATTGGGTGATTTATCCCTTGGCATGTCAAATTTATTTGAGCTGTATAAGAAACTAGTAGAAGTGGTTTTTATGTGTTACTGGGAATCTACGCTCCACTGATGCTTGATTCATATGTACCTTTAAAAACACCATATAATATTGTTCTTAAAGTTATGAGCAGTAGATAATTAACAGTTTCGTTTGCTTTATTTTATGAGGCTCCTTCGAAGTCAACATGATGCACAGTATTTCAACTATCTAATTTTTTAGAATTCTGGTGCAAAATTTTCTCTCTGTGGTACTCTGGAGAAATTTGGAGAAGAGTACGTGTTTGATGTTGGAGACCATAATGTACAGGTATACAAACTTGTATGTTTTTGACAAATTACCATGTTATATTG